AGGGAAATAGACGCTGAATGCGGCAGTGGTTCAAACTGCCGGAGTGCAATGACAAAGCGCAACAGAGGGTGCAATGGCAGGATGCAATGTGAGTGCAATGGGGGTGCATCGGAGCGTACGGAATACACCAGGCTAGGCGCTGGATCAGGCTGCTGCAGGTGCGGGCGTGGGAATGCTAGTTGAACTGAGAATGCTAGTTGAACTGGGAATGCTAGTTGAACTGGGAATGCTAGTTGAACTGGGAATGCTAGTTGAACTGGGAATGCTAGTTGAACTGGGAATGCTAGTTGCCAGCGCTGTCAAAACTTTTCAAGCTATCATAGCGCTGTAAAATAGCGTTCTCACCCCCTTCAAAACCCCGCTGCGGTAAGCTTGCTGCTGAGGTTCAATGTTCAGCGCAGTGGCAGAAACGTTTCAGTTCTACACAGAATTCTTCCACGAAGAACCTACCTAAGTCAGAAAACGTTTTAACGTTAACTATACAGCGTTGTATTATCCGTACAGTAATTTGCACAGACCTTGTTCATATGCACCTTATGGATCATACGGCCCTTGAGAGTATTATGGTGGCTGTGGAAAAAATCTCAATCGCTGAATCTCATCATCATTAACTAACGTGATTTCCTCCAGACAAGACAGAACTTCGAGTTTGTTGGAGGAAAGGAATACTGTATAGATAAAAGACCTTGCCTTTATGGGAAACAGCCAGCCTGAGGTTTTGGCACTGTGTCTTGTGTATGGATTGATTAGACTGGGTCATTGTGGTATCAGTATAAGTAGTCATGACTCATCTTGCTGAATTGAACATGCTGCCTTTCACAGGGCAGGTTTATTGGCCCACCACCCTCCATCTTTCCCAATTCATTCTGAGTCTTCACTGAGCAAATCGGAACCAAACCCAACCATGACTATGTCTACCACGTTGGTTACGCAGTGACCCAGGGGATCTCCTTAGTTCTAACTACGTTTCACAGCATCTGCGACTCGCCGACGTCCCGCCACCCGGTGATTGCACCAAGACATCCGACCCCTTCCTTTTCAATGATTTCGGCCCTGCCACGGAGTCATTGACGGCTTTGTCCAACCCCTGGGTGCCACAGGACTGTCCCAGACTCTCAGCGGCCTACCTCAGGTATCACACATCGGCCACATGTTACCCCACATTTGGGACGCTCACAACAATGGCAACTCAACAATCGCCCCTGCCAGCCGGGCCCGGAAGTCAAAGCCCGCCGATCAAATCATGCACAGCCCACCCAATCCCCGACGCCGTCCTACGCAGTGTCTATGCCTCCGACCAGGCCATGTACCCGGTCTCGCTGCCCTACACTACGCTACGCGCCTGGGTCGACGCGTGTCCAGACCTGGCCATCGGCTTCTCCCGAGAGGGCGACGGGCCTGGAGCGGCGGCTGCGGTGGCTCAGGTCGCGGGAGTGGTGATCGTACTGCCAATCACGAGAATCTACTGGGAGGATCTGCTTCAGGGCAGGTTGAAGGAGGCGGATGTTGATTCAAGGACGATGTTTCCCAGGCCTGGTGGCGGTGGCGGTGATCAGGGCGAGGAGGCGGAAAGGGAGGAGGTTGGGTTGCATGTCTACCACGTTGAGCGGTATGGCAATGCAGACTTATGCCTTGGAGAGGGAGAAGCAGGGGAAAGAACAGGGTATCTGAAGTATGCACTTAAAGAGGTAGTGAGGCGGGTGCAAGCGAGGTTTGACTGGAAAGTGGTTGGGATATCAGGTGAGTGTCTCAGTGTCCAGGACCTTGGCATGTCAGAGATGCAAGGAGAGGCTAACAGGACCTGCGAACGCTTGTGGACGTAGCACTCACTGCCACACCTGCCGGGAAGAGGGCGTTTGAAAGACTAGGATTCACCCCGACGGGTTACAGAGAGCTATTTGTTACAAAAGGTGCAGGAGAAGGGTCTGCCGACGGAATGGGGGACCAGGTGTTACAGACTCGGATGATTTGCCACTATCCTGATGATGAGGAAGACCCCGTCTTAGCCGGCGGTGCGGCCATCACTTCAACGTCTGAAATGACTGTAATGTATGGCAATCTTTCCGATGTGATGTAGACAAAGGGGGTAAACCATAAGATCATCCTCATCGGCTTCTCCGGCAACCCCTCCACCTAGAATTGGGCAGCGTTCTTCTATCTGCTATGGCGTTCCCAGCATTAGGAGAATGAGCGGATTTTAAACTTTGTCAAGGCAATAACGTGTTTTATCAGCGAGTGCACCACTGGTAAGGGCTGCACAGACACTTAGTCGAAGTACTAACAGCTTATTCCGCGCATTATTCCCGTTGTTAGTGCTGCACCCAAATATATATGCAGCCCTTACCAGTGGTGCACTCGCTGATATGGTGCATTCGCTGATAAAACACGTTAAACATCACTTGGCAATCTTGCAGGATATGTAGTTCGAATTTGGCACCCAGTCCGATAAAAGTAAGCGAAATTAGTAAAATTTAAAAAATTCAAGGTCCTACCCGGAATCGAACCGGGGTTGCCGGAATCAGAATCCGGAGTGATAACCGCTACACTATAGAACCTAAGATATTTTCTTCTGTTTATCATTTGTGGTCAAGTTCACCATCTAATTGGATGATTTGCCAGCGATGTGGAGAAATTTTGACAATGAGCTTGATGGGCTGCCGGATCCACCCGGCCGGCCTCATTGTGCGGTAATAGTCCTGCAGTCAGGAATCAGCGGTCATGCGACAGTTAATGAAAGTGCGCAAGTCAAGTAAGGCCTTGAAGCGGTGTCACGTATGACAGGACATGGTCAATTTGAATTGACTGAGTTACCAGTTAGCGGACGGCTGTCAGCTTGCAGTGGTTGGGCATCAGCCGAAGACTCGGAGCATAACACGGCGGCCTCCTGCAGCTGCAATCAACATGCGAGGTCCCGAAACTTTGCCAATTATCCAAAGAAAAAAAAAGAAGAAAAGAAAAGAAAAGAAAAACAGAATTTCGATGCAGTGGCAAGATAAAAACAACTGAAACTATGAACGGGGAGTTCCCACAGGTCTCCGAACCAAATGATCGGCGCCGATGGGGAGGAGTGCAGTGGTCGCCCGACTCGAGCCGGACGGGGAGTATCTTACTCGACTCAAGCGTTCGAAATTGGCAGCTGAATGAAGAACACAGGAACCAAGCGCGGTGGTAAGATATTGGAGAGTGGTGGTTTGTGTCTCGCAAGAGATAATTATTTGCCGCGCAAGTCCTTACGTTGCAACCTCGCCGGACCGGGAATGTCCTCTCTCCGTTGCACCATCCTTGAATCTGGAAACCCGGACGGTCAAGGGCTCGCTGGCCTCCTCAAACTCTCAACAGTAATGATTGATGCAGCCCATGTCTATCATGATGGCGGCCCACAAGCAAAGCTGTCTTGTCTTTCAACTCTTGAACAAGGCCCGAAATGGCTGAGCACCTTCAGTTCACCTCGGCCTTCGGGAGCCCAGACGAGGCAACTCTACGACGGCTGGCTTGGGGCTCATGGTCTGGCCAAGTGTTGACTCGGGATGATCTCAGATCTCCTCGCAGCCCCAGGTTCCGGACGGAGATTGTGAGCTTGAGCTTGATTGTTCCACAACAGCATCGATCATGAAACCGAATGAGGAAACTGTGGGTGTCGATGATCGACGGTCAACCTACGGGATTCCGAAGGACCGAGCGGCAGCTTCGAACTCGGTTGACTGGAGAAAAATATCGCTAATATTCCCAGAGAGGGGATGGAACTTAACATGCCCGAAAATGTCTATATAAGGAGTGGTCCTCCTCCTCCATCGGCCCTCGAGTCTTTACCATCAGCAGCATCAGCTTCACAGACCACTCAACGCTCCAAGCAATCAAAACCCAACCCTTCCAGCTTTTCAAAGCAACTCTTCCACAACCGCCAACATGCAGTACTCCAGCATCTTCACCATCCTGGCTCTCGCCATGACCGCCATCGCCGCCCCGTCCGAGAAGGTTGTCCGCGCCGGAGGCGGCGACACCACCATTGGCAGCTGCAACTCGTCGAATTCGAACGTCTGCTGCACCAGCGGGCTCCTCGGCGTTCTCAATTGCATTGCTGTTCTTGGCAAGAACTGCGAGGGTAGCGCCTACTGCTGCTCGGACAAGACCATTCAAGTGAGCATTTTCCCAGACGGAAAGCCATAGTGAATCATGCAACCACGAAACTGACCCATCTTCTCACGCCAGAACGGTGTCGTCAACCTTGACGCCAGCTGCGTCGAGGTTCTCTAAGCGAGCACCCTCGCCTAAACAACGCCGAGGGCTTCCAAAAGAGAAAGAGTAGAGATGGCGCCGCCAAGTCACAGCGTCGGTGTCACGACCGCTCACCGCAGAAAGGCGCCATCCCGAGGAGCGCAGGGGCCTTTCAGCAAAGCCGGGGACAAGGGGCGCAAGTACAAGTACATATCCCTGTCGGGGCAAGACTTTGTTCTTTGATTTCGCACTTGGGGGCCGCCGCTGCAAGGGGGGTGAATAATAACTCGGGCACATTTTTACTTTCCTTCAATTTCCTTGGTTTTGGCTCATCAGGCCTGTGCTGGGGACTCAACCAAGCCACGCTCATTCACACATACGCACGATGATGGAGAGGGATGCACCTACGAGGTGGTACATCATCGGTAATCTAATAAACCGTGCCTACCATATTCATGATTTGCTTTCTTCACTGAATTGTGACCTGGATCGTTAACTGGCAAGAATCCATAGCTGCCGTCAAGCTCGTGACTATTAATCACATGAGGAGCAATCAACGCAGTCAAGACTTCTCAAATCATGGGCCTACTTCTCAAATCAGGGGAATATGCGTCTGGACACTTCAAGTGCATCCAAAGCAACTTCTCCACTGCATAAGATATCAATCCGCTACATCTCTCTCCTGTTCGTGACAACCTTCAACTGCGGCTAAAAGAACTTCCCGCCAACACCTGCCGCTTCTTGTGTAATCCCTACCGTCTGCAGGAAAATCAGTCGGGTGGGATCCCCAGACTGTACACCGGGATCTGCAAGGTATACCGAAAATCAAGGTTGGTCCCGATCGGACATCCCATAACCTTGTATAACCACGGAGGGCCCGTTAGATGCTTAAGGGCTCAAGTGACAATATGTCGTGGGACGCTGCCAGTTACTCAAGGCTTTCGCGCGGGACATTGTTTCCCAGCTCAGGCGACTGTCATTATTAGTACCCGGAGCACGGAAGGAATATGTATGTGCGCCGGCGGGGAGAATTTTGCTAAGGCATCGTTTGATTCGGATATATGCTCTTGCCATGTGGCTCACTAGCTGTGGCATCAGCTGCTCCATTCGTGTCAGACAACACAGCATACTGGTTGCACCGTCCTAAGGTGTCTTGCCAAAGATTTCCAAATGCGTGTTGCGCTGAAGACTGTGTGTCCGAATAACCGTCTCGCACACCTTCCCGAACCCGGGGTTCTGATATGGGTTTGCCTCGCTGACCATCTGGTTCCCGTCCTTGATCTAGCTGTTGGCGGCCGCGTAGTGTTTGCCGACGCCGTGAATCTGGTCAGCAGCACGGTTCTGGTTGCTGATGTCGGCCAGGGCATTGTCAGCAGGCTTTGCAGCCTGAGCAGCGTGCCCCCCGCCGAATCCGTTCTCGGCCAACCATGCGGCCGTCCACCAGGGTCGGTGCTGAAACGATGCGATCTCCAGCTGCTTAGCAATTCCCTGCTTGTTCTTGACCCTTTGTCGGGCCTCGGGAGAGCTTGTGTCGTACAGTGGCCCAACAATGGCGTGGTATGCGAGCCTAGCTGGACCCATTTCGCCGACCCTCCGCAACTTGTCTGCCACGAGGAACTCGTCGTTGGGCGGAACGCCTCGCGCAAGTTGGACCAACGGCGTTGGTCTCCAGTCCCTGTCCGACAGCCACGCCGGTCTCGCATCGTAGGTCTCGTAGGCGGGGACAATGCTGACAGACTCCCAGTCCACGACAGCAGTAAGCCTGAAGGTGACAGGATCGACGAGAAGGTTATGCTCCGAAAGGTCGTCGTGCCACAGTACTCCCACATCTTCCGGTCCGTTGTCGGGCGGAACGAGTCGCGAAACGAGAGTCTTCAGCTGCTCGAAGAGTTCGTAGACTCGGTCCTTATTGCGGTCCAGCTCTCGGTCGTTCTCGCAGTACCAGGCCTCTCCTTCGACGGGCGCGAGGTTCCGGATCCGCTGACCCAGGAGCTCCACGCGCATGTCGACCAACTCACGGGTTGTGTTGAAGGGTCCGCGTGAGCCAGAGTAGTAGATTCGCTTGTCGAAGAAGAAATCCTGAGCCACAATCCGGCCAAGCACGAAACTGCCGCCAGGACCGATGTCCCTGTCCATGTTAGCATCGATGCCGTTGCAGGTCGTTACCGACAGCGAGGCCTGGAGAGCCAGCACGCGGTCCGCGACGTCGGCGAAGTAGAGGTTCCCAAACTTGCTGAACCGCAGCGCAACGAGCTGCTTAACATAACTGGCCAGCTCGGCGAACAACTCGACTCGCGCAGCATCGGGCATGGTGGCCCACAACTTGCGCAGAGGTTTCCCGGGCATCATTTCCATCATAATCCACTCGTATCCCAGCTCGTTGTCGTCGCTCGAGGAGAAGGCGATCACACGGGGGATGGGCATCGAGGTGTGCCGTCGGACGTACTCCATCGTGGCGATCTCGCTCTCGGTCTTGAAGAAGGGCTCGACGGGAATCGAAACTCGGAAGATGTAGGCTTTCTCCCAGCTGGGGTTGGTGAGACTGTAAAGGCGGTTGAAGGTGCCCTTGGCAAAGTATTGGATCTCGGCGTCGACGAACTCGGGAAACTGGCGGACAAGAATCTTGCGGATGCTGCTGACCCAGGCATCGTGGTCCAGCTCATCGGGCCAGTGTCGCTCCAGGTAACCTTCTTCTTCATGGCTTCTCCAGTAGCGGTACAGGTCGGCGGCAGGAGGCTTGGGCTCGTGAGCGTGCGATACGCGAATAGGAAAATCGCGGTTGGTAAATTGCGCGCCCATGCTTGCAGCGATGGGGCTGCCGATGATTGATGATATTCGGGGGTAGTATTTTACTGCAACCAGCAAGATGTCGGTGGCAACAAGTAAGACCGCTGGAGCAAGGAAGTCACAAGCTTAGAATCTTGGAGGCACTGGAGCGTCCCTGCCGCGATTCTCGAGCATGCGGAAGGAGCAAAAAAGCTGCGGTGCCGGCAGCCCTTTGCACTCCGGAGCGGACCTGCTTCACAATTGCTGTGTGACAAAGCTCGCTGTTGTTGTCCAGTTCTGATGGCGATGCCGGCTCTTGCCCTAGCCGTTGAACCTGTCTGTGTTGGTGACATACAATGAAGTTGAAAGTCAATCCAGCAGAGACTAGTTGCTCGAGGGGATGTTACGATTTGCTTGACGTGACTTTTTTTCTGAGTAATTCCACTGTCAAACAATCTTGCGCTGACTGTAAATCCCATCCACGAACAGGCACACCTCACCAAGGAATTTTCACAGAAAGCTGTTGAGAGCAGCATACCTAGGTAGTGTTGTAGAGTCATCAATGGTAGCTGACAATTGGCTTGCCGAGATCGGTACTTGAGTCTCGGGTTCTTACACTTTGTGTCTCGCAGAGCTCTAGCTGAAGGTTGCCTGCTGCTGGTGCTGGCAAAGCAAGCCCATTGATACCGGCTTGATCCTGAGGTGCCTTGCAACTGTGACTTCTTGATGTTCAAAGGGAGCTGCTTCACTCACATATAGCACCGCAAAGCATTGACTACCTTAGGTTTCGCAATGCCAGAAACAAGGGCAAGGTGTACCATGGAAATCTTTCCTAGACTACCCACGTGTGAACCAGATCAAGTGGGCGCTGACTGTCCGTTTTCGATCGAGTATTAGTTAAGCGGCGAAAGGAATATCATAGCTCAACCAATCTAATGTTGAGAGTACAGTGAGCAAATAGGGTTGACCCTCATGACTTCGCTCTCTTTTGTTTGGGGTGTGGCCTGGAGAAGGCGTAAGGGGTATTGTGCCATCCAAGACCTCGTGGAACCGGAAATGTCAAAAGAATGGAGGGTCGATATTACAGAATTGCATAGCTGTGAACTTGTGAAGAGGGATCAAAGCCAGAACGGCACGAAGAACAAGTGAGGGGTGTCTATAATCAGATATATTACAAGGTACCCCACCCCCTTTATCTCCCTGCCGAGGTAGCTTCTGAGATCCAAAAAAAGAGAACGATGCATGTACACGAGAAAATATTCATTGCTCAACCTAGGCCCTGCCAAAAAGACCCTTCGGCGTTGTAACCTTGGTGGCAACCGCCAGGACGCCCCCAGCCAAACAGATAACGCCGCTGAAAATGGCCGGCTGAAGGAATCCTCCATATGTGTCCAGCAACACACCGTTCACCGGCGGCCCAACCAGAGACGCCGTGGATGCCAGTGCCATGCCCATGCCCATGTAAGTGCCGAGCTTTTGAGCATCGTCGGTGCAGATCGAGAGTGCAGCGGATGCACCCGAGATGATGGTGCCAGATGTGAAGCCGAAGAAGACGGAGTAGACGATCAACCCTGCCGTGCTGACAACAGTGTTCATGCAGAGAACAATAATGCCCGTGAGCAAGGCACCTAGGCCAAAGACATTGAGCCTGCCGAACCTGTCGGCCAATATGCCGGGGATGATCCGCCCGAACGTCGAGGCGGCGTTGACGATGGCCAACAGGTATGACGCCAGCGTACGCTCCATGCCCCTGGAAACGGCGTATGTCGGAATGTAGAACAGCGGTGTATACATGCCGATGAAGCAGCAGAATGCGGCAACGATAAGCATCATGAACCTGGCCTCCCTGAACGCCGACATGATGAAGAAGCTTGTTTTCCTCGGCGGCAACCTCGATGTCACAGCGAAAGAGGAAAACGCCAGCAGCGGAGTAACCACGAACGCCATCACCCTCACCGACCAACCGAACCCAAGTGTGGATCCGTTCAGCATCTTGGACAGCGCAATGGGGAAAATAACCCCTCCGATCGAGCTGCCGGAAACGACCAGTCCCAGTGCGGCGCCACGCTTCTTATCAAAATACTGCGACACGGCCGCGAACGCAGGAACTTGCAGCATACTCATGGCAAACCCGGCCAGCACGCCCTGCGCCAGCATAAACTGCCAGTATTCCTTGCAGATGCTGCTCATCATGAGGGCAAAGACGTAGAGCACGGCCCCCGGGCGGATGACCCAGGCGCCAAAGCGGTCAAACATGGGGCCGGCGAGGGCGCCGCCGGCAAACTGGAGGAAGGCCGTCAGCGAGCCGATCCAGGCGACGTCGTCGGGGGAATGGTGGCGCAGCTGGTTCGCCATGTAGTATTCCTGAAAGACGCCGAACGAGTTCATGAAGCCCAGGCACGAGAAGAAGATGCAGGCTGCCCCGGCGACGACGAGCCACGCGCGGGCGCCGCCATCGGGAGCTGCCGAAAACCCTCGGGAGCCTGAGGTGAGTGTACCCTTGCCAGATTCGGTATCGGTTGAGTCGGTTTGGTTGGGAACTTGCTTTTCGTCGTTGGGTGCTCGGGTAGATCGGCCCTCGGGGTGCTCGGGGACGGCCATGATACGGTGGAATTAAATGCTGTGGAGGGGGTTCCGAGTTTACGGTCCGTGATGGAAGGCTAGTCGCCGTGGGAGGTGATCCTGATGGTGGTGAGGACCCTGACTGAGAGTGATGTCAAGGATCGGATGTTGTCAAGAAATCGCTGTAACACCTCAGGGACGGTGACCGGAAGATAAAACAAACAATGGTCGTACTGGTGTTCAGTTATTGTCAGAAGTTCCGGATGGCCAGATGCTGAAGCCTAAGGACCGAAGGGCTGGTTGTGACCTGAGCAAGCCGTGGTACGGTGGTGCTCGCAGTTCAGGGCCAAGACCTGACCTTATATGCCCGACCTGCCCGGTGCCAGCAAATGGACACCCGGCTCAGCTCCGTGGAATCTGGCTCCGGGCCTGCCATGCTCGGCAAATTGGTAACCACTCGGGCTCGGCAAAAAGACTCGGCGTTAACGGTACAGGTGGCCAATCACAGATCTGTTCACTCCATGTAGCATCCTTCTTTGAGAAGGATGCGCAGGGTTCGCTTCCTTCACTGCATAAAATGCCGATTGCTCCTGCTTGAAAACGCAAAAGCCCGCCTATTCTTCCGTCTCCGAAGCATTTCCCGAAAGTCGAATTGCTTCAGCGAAATATGACGGGAAACTGCGAGTCATCTCTCTTACTTACTAGTATTTTGAATTACCCATATTGAGAATTTGTGCAATGATGGAGCCAGAACGGCGGCGACGCAGGCCAGCAGTGTACGTGGATTGGGTATTTCGTTGGTGGGCGGGTTCCGATACCCACGATTTTTCCCTTTCGTTCGCTGCCTTGAATTTCCGTCCCTCCCTCGTTGTTCGGTGCAACTGTCCTGCCGAGCCCAGCTAACAGGCACAGCTCCTGCATTCTCTGCAGAAGACGGAAAATCCGGTGCAACAGAGAAACGCCCTGCAGCAACTGTGCGAAATCCAAAAATGCCACGTGCGTCTACAGGGACCCTCCGCGGCCTCCGCGGCCGGATGGCCCGCTGCATCCCTTAGTTGGCGATGCAAGCCAGACGGTGCAGATCCAGACATCCGAACCCGCGGCCATGTCGCTGTTAACTCCGGCTTCTTCCGAGCCCACACACCACGGTTCTTCTCGGCCACCACCACAACACACAACTGCTCTCACCGGCTCTACTGCCACATCTGCTGCTGCCAGTCCATCGCCAAGAACCTATGGCCAGCCCAGCAGTAGGCGACCAGCACCAGAACAGGCTGTGTCATCAGGCCCGAGTCCAGCGAACACGGCATCGGTCTCGACATTCACGAGAGATACTCATGTCGAGACGAAAACGCTACATTTATCTGACTTCACTGCTAACTACCATCTGCACACTGAGCACCGCTCGGCCGGCCAGTCCCAGTCCCAGGTCGTCACGAAATGCGTCACGCACAAGACACGGCTGTTTGGCCAAAGCCATTGGGTCAATGCGGTCGGCCTTGTATGAGCCCTTCTCAAACACAGCAGCAGGTCGAACCACTACTGACTGTGTTCCAGCTTAGTGACATGATTGAGCTTATCCAGCGTTCCCTGCGCGACCCTATGTCCAAACTCCTTGTCATGGAGAGGCGGTGTAAATCTCTGGCCAAAGTCATCAAGGCCCGTCGACGGCCTCCATGGCCCTGCCCACCCACTCCCGAGCTGCCCGGCAGGCTTGTTTGTGATGCGCTGGTTGAGTGCTATCTTGACACGAGCGAGGCTATCTTCCGCGTCTTGCATGTTCCCAGTTTTAGGCGCGACTATGAGGCCGTCTGGGACCCGAGCAGAGACCCGGATCCTGCCTTCTTGGTCCAGCTCAAACTGGTGCTTGCCATCGGTGCCGCAGCCTATGATTCCACCTTCTCCTTACGTCCCTATGCCATACGTTGGGTGTACGAAGCGCAGACATGGCTTTCGGAACCCGAGTTCAAGTCCCGCCTCGACATTCCCGCGCTGCAAACCAGTATCCTGCTCCTGATGGCCCGCGAAGCGACAGGGGTGGGTGAGGAAATGGTTTGGGCAACGTTGGGAACCACAGTCCGCATCGCCATGTACATGGGCCTGCACCGCGACACGGCGGGCCTGGGTCTTGTCACCGTCACCTTGCTAGTAGCGGAGATGCGCCGACGGCTTTGGAATACGATCCTGGAACTCATGTTGCATTCCAGCCTAACCTCGGGCGCACCGCCGTTGATCACTCTCGACGAGTTCGATACGAAGCCACCAGGGAACTTCGATGACGACCAGCTAACGGACCAAGAAGGCGATGACCTCACGCCCAGGCCAGACGAACATTTTACCCAAACAACTATAGCCATTGCCCTCCGCAGCACGTTCCCTCAGCGGCTGGCTGTCGCAAAGCATCTCAACGACCTCTCCTCCCGCCCCACTTACTCCGAGACTCTCAAGCTCGACGCAGAGCTCCGTGAAGCGTACAGGACCCTCACCCATACGCTCCAGGCATGCAAGAGTGCCCCGAGAAGCCCATCCGAACTGGGACTCCGCACTGTTGACTTGATTCTCCGCTGGTTCTTTATTGCGCTTCATTTCCCCTTCTTCGCTCCCGCCCTCCGAGAAGCCGAATTTGCATTTTCGCGCCGCGCCGCGGTCGAAAACGCCCTCCGTTTCTGGCGCACCGCGTTCCCTCACCCGCTATCTTTGTCTGACGATTTGGCCGACGACCGCCTCGGGCGCATCGCCATCAACGGATCAGGCTTCTTCCGCACCACGGCGGTCCGAGCACTTGTCGGCATTGCTATTGAGCTGCAAACGCTTGCCCGGGAAGAACAGGGCTTGAGCCTTGGACCCGTCGAGTTGAGACCCGATTTACTGCTGGCCATGGAAGACTTCACGGTCTGGGCTTGGAAGTCCCTGGAGACGGGGCAGACGAATGCGAAATGCTACCTCGTGGCTGCTGTCATCCGCGCGCAGTTTGAGGCGGTGAGACAAGGACTGAGTCATGAAGATACGGAGGCGTTCGTGTTCAAGGAGGCGGAGGCGGCCGAGGAAAGGGCTCTTGGGCTGTTGGAGGCGATTGAAGCCAGCGGTCGGCAGACTCAGGAAGACGCGGTTCTGGGTGTGGGTGTTGATGATGTGGGTCATGGTCTGGACCTGACCACAGGGTTGAGCGTGGATTGGAATTATCTGGTGAGTTACGACATGCAGGAAGTCGCTCGCTTGATGCAAATAGCACTAACCAGTTTCAGGCATCAGATGCCATGTTTAGCTCGATGGAGATGGACCCCATGAGCTGGGTTCTCCAGTAAGGCACTGCATGACCGGATCAAAATGCGACAGACTCGCCCCATTCGTGCCCCTGGCCGCCTCTTGCTCTTCTTCGGATCATACGCGACAGTCTTCGAGTATGGTTCTCGATTTCCTTCAAAGGGTATACGAGGATATACGCAAATGGAGCATTTGAGCCGGGCGGCCATCTGCTAAAGTCGAGAACCAGGCTTGCCTCGGTTGGTACCGGGGATCTGAACCTGTTCAGCCCGGCTGCGTCCGGAGCATACTGGCCGCTGGGTAGATTAGTTTGGACTCGACGCAAACCAACGTCTGATCTAGCTTGCACCGTTATGATGAGACCCAACGTGGCACGAAACCCAAAGGTCCCAAACACCAGATGAAGCCGAGATCAAGCGAGCGGCGGGCGGAGTTCCCGGTTCTGCGCTAGCGTTGGCTAGCTCGTGAGAAGGCGTGAGACCGGTCATGAATCGTGGATGTCTGTGCACACGAAGCCTGCAATACGTTTGGGGCCGCCCGCTTCCCCGGTACTCCTCCACCTCTCGTGCAGATCCGGGGTCGGCAGTGGTCTGGCCAAAGTGCAGGTTTCAACCGTTGACGACAACATGTGGATGCAGGGTTCAGGGCGTGAGGACCACCATCGCCACCGCCCCATTGATCAGTGTGATGAGGCCCCCAACTTCTGCTCTCTCTGCACATCCCCCCATCGGCTCCTCCGAGCCACGTGGTTCCAGCCCAGTCAACCATCATGGAATCAGAACCCGTCTTCTTCGAGCTGAGCTGGTCCATCCTCAGCACCATAGGAGCGGGCAATGTCTTCTTCGGGATTCTCGTCGTCAGCGTCACGAACTTCTCCCCAATCGCCGCGGTCCCCCTCGTAACCTCGGCCGCTTGCGCCGTCGCAAACGGGGTTTGTTTCTACGCCTATTACTTGCCGACTGTGCCAGTCACGAACCGCGCCGTCGCTGCGGCCTTTGCGGATATATTATGGCTGGTGAGCATCAGCCCTTGTCGGCCTTTCCGGCTCGAGCTTCAAGCAATTTCGATGGCGGACAGACTGGATTGTGTTGACCTTTAGACAACAGATTCAAGAAGCTGGAATCTCGTTGTATAGCTATGTCATATTAAGTCGCATTCTTCGCGATAGGCAGTGGTACCTTTTCGCGAGCCTCTTCTGGACGACCATGGTGGCCATCGTCGCGGTTCGCATCAACATCGCCATTACGCGCGTTCGGTTCATCGTTGGCGGCGACATGGCGCTTCAAAGAACTGTCAACTACCTGCACATGGCGTACTTCCCGCTCCTGGCGCTCCTCGAATGCGTCAGCGCCTACTACCTGTTGAGGACCTTTGCTCAGGCCAAGATGTCCACGTTCAGACGAACCAGCAAGACAGGCCTGTTTCAATACCTGGTCCGCAGCACCGAGGTTCGCCTGGCCCTGCTTGCTCTCGTCGGCATCATGCGAGCCGTCACCTACTCTTTCCAGGTCAAACCCCAAAGGGCGCTCAACCTAGCCAACCAAGTCGACCGCTTCTGCTACACAATGGAGTGCCTCTTCCCAATCGTTATATAGTGCGTTACTACTCGACTCCCCCGTTTCCCCATCTTTCCCGGTCGGTGGCTAATCTCAGCTCTCGAAACGTAGCATTGATATGCTGTCTTCCAAAATTGTCTACAGAACCCAACAGCAGGAGCAGCAATACAATATCTCCTTGGACCTCCAGCTTCCCGGAAGCACCTCCAGGACGGCCTCAAACGGCGGAAAGGCCAGAGTTGAACAGTTCGTCCTGTCAGGCGGCCTCATTGATCCGGGAGATGTTGGGGATACAGGCTCGGGCGAGCACATTGTTGGCGCCGAGCCGTACCGCATGGAATCCTCTGACATCGGTTTGGCGGTGATGGAGACGAGATGGCCAGGCGGCAGCAGGACGGTCGACGTTGAGGCTGGGGTGAACTCGTTCGGGGTAGAGCCCCGCTCAATACCAGTATGAAAGAGACGGATATCGTTGCCGGTTGACGGTTTCCATTCCCTTAGAAGATGGTTTAGGGAGAACACGCGCCTTACAACTGTCTAATTAATTCCAGTTTGTTTCCCGGCACACGATTTACTTATGCCGGTAATCATATCACTGCTCAAACGGTGTGGCAGCTGGGTAAATCGAACTGAATGGAGAGCGACGACTGAGGTCTTCAATTCCGGTCCACCTTGACCGCGGCCCAAGGCGAACCGCTTCCATCCTGTTTCCACCAAAACTACTTGAACTACCCGACCCAACCTTTCGCCGCGTGGGAACCTTTCAGCTCATACCTCCCTCTCGACCCAATTCCGCACCACCCCTCCGACACTCTCGTCATACTCCCCCACAACCACCTCGCCCCCTCCTCCGGGCTGCTCCCCATTATCCACAACAAAGGTATTCGCCTGCACAAATACGAGCGGTGACGGCTTGTGCCAAAGCACCTTCTCCCGCCACAGCAGGTACTCGGTGGCCTCCTCGTCGACGCGTGTCAGCTGCTCGTAGTAGGCGCGGCAAGTGGCCACGTCGGCCGTTCACCGGTACGTGTGCAGGCGCAGGAGCATGGCGCCGAGGGCGGGCTGGCCGTGGGAGTGGATCTTGGACCGGTCGATGTGTACTGTTAGGGAGGATTGGTTGTGCGTTATGGTTAGGACGCCGGAGCCGTGGGTGAGGAAGGTTTTTGAGTATTGCGAAGTGCGCCTTGAAAGAAAAAAAGGGCGCTAGTTGGGTTGGTCGATGTGTGTTTCAAGCTGGGGAAAGGGGTGTTGGGAGAGGGAGGTGAAAAAGGGGTGGAAAGGGGGTTTACGCGACTGTGGGCTTGGCCCCATTTCTGTTTGATGGCAGGATGAGGATAGAAAGTTTAAAAAGATTCTGTAACAGTTAATATGGAGTTGTGAGAGATTCACACCGTTGTCGACGTTGTAATTCGCGAGGCCGCGTAGCCCGTCAACGCCGAGTTGTTGGTAGAGGTTGTAGGTGACTGACGCTCGTCAGCCAAAGGGCCATCGACCTGGCCTGGGTCGACACTCACAGTCTCAACCCGGATCTAGGAGTTCTCGATGAAGCCGCACAGCTCCAGCAGCTCAGGATCATTCATGAGATAGGCGTCAACCAGCTCAGTTCTGCACTCATCCACGGTAGTCGCCAGATCACCAGACTGGCAGGTCCATGTCTGGCCTGTCTTGTATCAGGATGTGATGGGATTCCCGGTCAGGGGGTTCATGGGCGGGCTGTTGATGTCTAAGTTGTACTTGCCCTCCTCGCATTCGACCATCATCTGTCCCGTGCCATGTCCCAGCAGCTCATGGAGCACGACCCACCAGTAGTGTGCCGGAAACTTTTGCTTTGCAAATGTCTCGACTTCCGAGGCGTCGATGAAAGGGTATTGCCTCGCTCGGCTTTCGATGCCCATGCGGTTGGCGATGATAACGTTCTTGAACCCGCATTCCTGGCGGATATCGTTGTACTAGAGCAATCAGAATCAGTCGGGCGATATACTCACTGAGTCAAGGTTATGAGGAATTCGACGTTTGGTAGGTTGATATCGGGGAAGATAATGTTTGAGCAGTAAGCAAGAGCTGTGGCGCGTCAGGAACCATCTGCTCAAACCTGCAATCTCGTCAGGAATTTCATGGCTTCTTACCGTGAATGCTCGAGAAGTCTGGCGGCTCAAAAAGACTCTTTTCAAACGGCCCCTTCCCGCGTCGTTCTCCGCTGTCTCCCAAGGAAGCTTCCGGATGAACTTGGAAGAGTGCTGGGCCAGCTTCGCCAAAAGATTGGTTCCCTCATCGTCGGCAATGGCCACCAAACCTTCGAACTCGACTCGTACGTGATGGGCATCGTGATATGGCTCGACAAATTCAAAGATGTTCTCCACTTTTTGTGCCCTTGTCCCTGACCCAAATTCGTTGAGATTCCCGGTACATGTCGAGGCTGCCGGTCTGGAAACTCTCGTTGTATGCGCGGAGGAGATCTCTCTCTAGGTCATTGGCCGCGTACTCCATGGCTTGATTGATCTGCTCGTGAATATGTTGCAGCGCGACAGAGTGGTCTCCGTAGGCGAGACGGAGGGAACCTCTTCCATTGGGGGGCTGGAGCGTCTGTGAGTCACTGACAGGCTGATTAGATGCAAGCAGCACCTCAGGGTCTGTGTCGTTTCCTGCTTTTCGAATTCTTGTATTTTCGGGGTAAATGGATATTCTCGGGGTAAATAGAGTTTTTTTTTAAAGGGCTGTGGTTACCATGGAAATCTCCTCCTCGGTGATGTCTCCCGGGTAGTACGCGCTCTGCGTGGTCTCGCTATTCGCCAAGCAGAACGAGGGGTATCGGTTAAAAAAAAAAAGAGCTTGCCAGATTGCTTGTCTAGCTCCAGATGACAGGAGAGCGAGTCAACCCACTGGATCGTAATTCCGCAGACCTTGGTTAGGACGTGGGCGTTGAGATCCTTGGAATTGACTGTTCTTGTCCAGCTGAAGAACGCTTGATCGTCAGCGTCGTCGAAGGCGCAGTGGTTTCCAGGGGAAGTCATCAGCCCGAACCGAAGGAGAAAGTCTGGGAGGGGCTTGTTGCTAGACTGGCTGTATTGGTTCAAGCAGAGCCGCGCCTCGCCTCGGTGACCCTCCATCTCGTCAAGGAGGTTATAGTCCCCGGCTGAGGACGGAGGAAGTTGGGCTTTTACAGCATTGTTTGCCAACCAGGATACAGAAAACGAGGCGCCTGGCTGCCTGAGCAGCCTCATAATCATTTTTGATGGAAGATTATGCCACGGGTGGCCAGCGCATCGGCAATGCTGTTGACGCTCTTTGATCCTGGGTTCAGGACGAGTTCCCTGACGTGACCCCAAATCACAAAGAAGGCGGCCAAGGCGGCATCGTCATCTAGGTCGATACCTGGCAGCGTGACTAGGAGGTGTCGTGGCTTGGCGCGGAGCTGCTGGACCACCACAGCGGTACCATGGGAGCCAATCGAAAGAGGGGTCGCTAGCTGTTTTCGAGGGGTGTGTAGATTGGCTAGTAGGGACAGAAGATACAGTATTTCTGTTGAAACTTCACAACTCTGGTAGTGTGCACTTTCTCGTTTGTCGGGGATCAATGGAAATCATCGAACGGGGAATGGACGTACCAAACGCGGTGTCCTTGGAGCAGGTGACCATTCGATTCCGTGACGAACATCCGGCAGGTAGTATCTTTAGAGCCAAGGAGCGTAATTGAAAGCGTCGAGAAGCTCAATGGCGACTGTTAAAAAGTAAGGAGGCTGAGCTCCTTAGCCTCCATCCCAAGGGTTTGGACTTCGAACTTGGAACAATGTCAGGATTGGTCTTTGGGACCAGCCAAATACTCCCAGATATGGCGAGGAAGCGCGCTGCTGAAACAAGCTACGCCGCAGGCCATGCAGGCCTCAGCCAAGTGCCGGCCTGGGACCCCGGGTGCGCGCTGATCGATGCAGGAGAACTTGCATACGGCACAGTGTAATCAAAGATCGGCTGTTCTACAGTCCAAGGAGTTTCTCGGCAGAGAGTTGAACGTCGAAGACCCGAAGTAAAGGGATATCGGGTGATAGACAAGTACTGTAAGCTGAGGCACCTACCAATTTTTTGGAAGCCCTCAAGTTTGGTGCCCAAACAGGGCCTACCTTGAGTATCTGCAACCGCCCGAACTGGAATCGTTCGGCTCCAGCTGTCGGCCGTCCGACCTGCGCCTTCCATTTTGGTTGCCCCGGCTCGGCCCCCTGCGACTTCCCCTCTTCATCCAAGCAGAATGTCCTCCTCTTTCCACCATGACCATCTGAGACGAGAGAGTCCCACCAATTTGCTCAAAATCTTGAGCAGTTCAGATCTCTGCCGCTGGCGCCTCTAACCCAAAATCCGTGGTCGCCTCAATTATGCGTCTAGGTTTGCTAGACTCCTGAGATACGTAAGGCAACATGTAGAAGTGAGTTGCCACCGACCCGACCCCAACTCCTTTTTTCAACCATACCATTTCACTCACCCCAGGAGCTGGCGTACTTATACTCCGCGGTGGCATGGAGCATTGGAGAAGTACCTCGACGAACTGCAGGGCCCCGAGGATTACCAGAGTATTATGCAAGTTCACTCATTTGAGGAACTGCTCGATTCGTTGTCTTCCACCCCGGTCGCCGCCCAATGCAGTTAGTCCGGCCTCACTTCAGTCAGCAGGTTTGTTCCAAGGCTCAAGTTGATGATTTTGCGGCTGTTCTTGCCGTGTATTTCGGCGCTGATGCTGCACTCACCGCGGCGGTCTGGGGCAGCATCAAGCTCATCCTTGCTCATGCCTCATCAGCAGCCGAGACGCTCCAGGACGTCCTCGACATGTTAGAGGGGCTCAGTCTGAACCTGCAACGCTTCCAAGTTTACGAGCAGACACTGCCGCTGAGTCACGACCTTCAACAGGCCCTGGTCGACGTGTATTCCGAGATCATCTGTTCTATGCCCGGACCATCCACTTTCTGCGCAGCAATCCTCATCTTGTCTCAGGAAGAACGCTTGGAGGGACTTCCGAAATGACTTTCCTCGCACCATCCCGCGCATAAAGCGTATGTCATCGGCCGTTGAGAGTCGAGCATATATTATCCGTAATTATGCAACACCTCACGCGTTACCAACCCCAACACTAACAAAGCACCCCGGAAACACACTCTCGGCATCCTGAAGCACAGGGAACCTAGAAACCAGCAAAGCCACCTCCTCTTCCCGCAACTGCATCTGGTCCCGCAGCACCCAGTACATAATGCCGATCGGCATTGGAGTTACTACCGTCACCATACTTGACGTCGTCGCCAGCAGCCGCGTGGCGCACGACAGCGTCATGAACGCCTCGGCGGCGGCCTGGCACCGGAATCTTGCCTGCCCCGGGAGGAGAAGCGGGCTGCCGCCGCCGTCGGACGACTGGTGGGAGGCAGCTGCCACCTGGCGGCGGATGTAACGCTGCTCGGCAGGCGAGAGGACCTCGGAATACGGATATGTCTGGCCGCGTGCGGCGGCCTCAAGCTGCATCAGGTAGATGAGCGCGACGTTGTAGTAGAGAATGTCGAGCGCCTGGCGCGGTGTGTCGAATTCAAGGCTGGTCTGCAGCATGTGGCGGACAAGGATGGGCGTGTCGGGCCGGAGGTGCGAATCAGCGTCGTCAAGGCTTGCGGCGTGTCGGACTTGGCGGACTGAGGCCGAGTTGGCTGCGTGCCAGGCCCAGCGCCAGTCTTGTAACGCGACGGACAAGGTTTTGATCTTGTCAAGGCAGGATGCTCGGTTCTGTGGGACGGCCAGGGTCTCGGCGATCCCGGGGAGATGGACCATGATGTCCATGAGACAGTCCTCGAAGGTTCTGGGTGCATGGCGCCAAGGTACAGTCTTCCAGGGTATGTCCTCAAGAAAGCAGCGGCTTTGTCGGCCGAGGGCCTGGCAGATCTGTGCCGTGTTAGATCGTGCACGGAGGAGACCAAATAGAGCGCCAGGAAGGGGCAGTGTGCCTTACAAGCATAGCTCTGCAGGATCGGTACACTTCGAGCAGGGGTTGCTCTCGGAATGTCTCGGAACCGCAATGATGTAGGATCTGCATCAATCCAACGTGGTGTGGTGGCGCCTGTCCGCAAAGCTTGTTGACGGTGAACTGCCGACAGCGTTGATACTTAGCAAGAGAACAGTAAGACAGAAACAAAACCGGCTCACCTCATAGATGCCCATCATGATCATTGTAAAACCAAGCCTGGCGAGCAGGGGCTTGACTGGTTGCTGTAGTAGAGACCGGACTTCGCTCAAAACCCGCCCGTAGAGCAGGCGCCCCTTGTTCTGCAGGGTCCCGTCCCCGAGGCTAAGACCCGCGTATCCATATGAGATAGCTTGGAGACAGACTTTGTTGATTTCGGGGAAGTCGCCGTTCGTGGCGGACAACAGGAGCGGACGAAAGAAGGGGGCCCAGTTGTAGGTTGTGAAGAAGTAGGCCGGGGATAATTCTTCCCGGGAATACGGATAGTTGAGACGTATTTCAACAGTGGGGCCCGAAGAGGGTGTCAAGCGCTTCAAGCTGGCCGTTGAAAGTCTCACCAGCTTCTGAGCCCCGTTGTTGTCTGAATGGACGCCATAGACTTCCATCCTCAAGGGGAGACGGTACCCACCGCAGCGATGGCCGGAAGCGGAACATTGGCCGCAGCGAGGTCTCGTCTTATCTGCGTGTTTGTCAATCAGGTAACAATCTACTTAAGTCTCCAAGGTGTTAAGTGTACGGTTCCTTACCGCACTTGATACGCCTCTTTCTGCATGTTTGGCAGTACCCGCTTGTTGGCTGGCGGCCCATGGCGTCAGGTGTTCGTCGAAAACTTGGATATTGACAATTGCCGGTTGCCAGCTGGACCGATTTTAGGTAAGGTGTTTTTCGGACACTGGACTCTCTGACTGGGAAAATATCAAGGCACAGGTAAACCCCAATCGTCGTAATACTCCGTACCTATGGACCTATGGGCCAGTGCGTTCCTCAGCCCCGGCCCCACCTCGAAACTTCCCCCACCCTTGCATCTTTCCATGCCTCGCATCCTCTTGCCTCGGCATCTTCCTATAACTCCTCGCATCCAATCTTCCTATACCTCGAATCCTCCAATATATCGTCAGATGCATAGATATTCCAGCGCATCCAATCAGGTGAAGTTGTAGTGAAGTCTTTCAAGTGCGACGACGGGGTAGGTGTAGTAAGATTTTGGGTTATTTCTTGGTCAAGAGTCAAGCCTCCGTAGTGTTGGGCACTGATTTGACACCAATTCGATAATTTGGGTTCTCCCTGGCTTTTTCTTGGCTCGGGGGTCGATTTGGGGAAGCTTACCAATCTTGCCAATGTCTGGGATGCTCGACTCCCTTTGCCGCGACTCTCTTAATCTCGAGACAAGCCAGGCACTTCTGATGATTGTGTAATCATTATTCTGCCGCATTGGTGGGGCCTTTCCCTAGAAGGAAAGTAAAGTCGAGATGTGGATACAGAGATTGAGGGGAGTGGCCTGAGTGGCAACAAAACGTCAAATGTCCTGCCATACTTCGTTCTCCACATGTCGACGATGTCGCTGTCGCTCAACGATTCCCGATTAGGCAACTTTGGTCGACGTGCATTATTGCTTACCTTACACAGCTTGAACTGCTCAGACAGCTTCATCGACATGGCTGCTGGTCAGCTTGTTGAGATTTGTCAAACACTAGCAAGCCTTGAAAATATATAAGAAGACTGGGAGGCCGGGTTGAACATGAACCAACAAAGACATCTGACATAATCGCTTTACACTTCACACTGAACCTCATTCAAATTTCTTGGATTCACTGAATCCCTCCAGCCCAGCCGCATCATGGATCTCAAGAGCCTTCCAGTAGACTATTTCGTCACCAGGTACGACCCTCAGAATAATTCACCATGCTCTCCCAAAATCATGATTGACACATCGCAGCCTTCAATTCACCAAGCATGTCTATCAAGATGTGTACCCCTCCATTGACCCCTCGAACCCCGAGCTGTCTCTGGTCGGCAAGGTTGCCATCATCACGGGCGCCAGTCGCGGCATGGGAGCCATGGCAAGACTCCCCTGAGTTCAAAATGATGCAGCGGTAAAAGTCCTCAGCTGACACTAGTCCTAGGGCATTGCTCCGGCCTTTGCTCGAGCCGGAGCAAAGGCCATTGTGCTGGTGGCCACCAATGCCGAGAGGCTGAGCGCCGTTGAGGCCAGTCTCAAGGCCATCAACTCCAACGTCCAAGTCCTCTCGGTCGCAACCGACATTTCGGATGCCAACTCTGTGGCAGACTTGTTCGCCAAGGTCAAGGCCAGCTTTGGACATGCCGATATCCTCATCAACAACGCGGCAGCCCACTCTGGTATCGGAAACCTCCTGGACGAGGATCCGGAGAAGTGGTGGCTCAACTTTGTGCGTGATTAGTCTCTTTCTTGGAATTGGCTTGGGGCACTTGCTAATAGCCAAACCCAGGAAGTCAACACCAAAGGCGCCTTCCTGCTGGCCCAAAACTTCCTCAAAGCCCTGCCGTCGCCATCCACCCCAGCCACCATTGTCAACCTCGTCTCAGCCGCCGCGTGGCTGGTGTATCCCTTCATGGCGGGTTACAGCATCAGCAAGCTCGCCGCGTTGCAGCTGATGACGCACATCGCGGCTGCTTATCCGAACGTCACGACCGTCAGCTTGCACCCCGGCCTCGTTAAGACCGACATGCTTCAAGATGAATTCAGAAGGTTTAATCTCGACTCGCCGGCATTGATTGGCGGCCTCACCGTGTGGCTCTCTACCGAGAAGGCCAAGTTTCTGACGGGGCGAACCATTGTGTCGAACTGGAGTGTTGATGACTTAGTCGAGCGGAAGGAGGAGATTGAGGCGGGAAATCTCTTGCGGATTAATCTCACAGGGAAGTTTGGGAAGGGTCAGTTTGAATAAACGACAGAACTGTATCTAGGAGACACAATATGGACCAGATGGATCAGATAACAAAGAAAGAGCTAACGGTGGAACAAAAGACTTCATTCCCGTCGACCCGCCGGCGTTTAACCTGCTTTCGCCGTAATGGAGATCACATCAAACTAACGAAATAATCCCAGTACTGGCACAAGGCGCCAACATTCCAGCCGCACATCTCTACACTCAAGTCTTGCACATCCAGAATCACAGGCAGATACCTGCTCTCCCACTCGTCTCGACCCCCTCGCCGCGAGCACTCCCTCCGCGCCTTGCACAGTTCCCAGTAGGCGGGATACCACCCCGCCTGTTCCCATCCCAAGATGGACACAATTCGTGGATTTGGCCCAGCCGAGACGATGATGTTTCGCGGGTGAAGAGCACCGTGCGTAAACACAACGGGCACATCGCTTGGGAAGAGATGGTGCGGCGTATAGCGGAGCTGCCCAACCCTGGCACCGAGCTGTCTGCTCTGCGACATCGTCACCGCCATCGAGACAAAGTAATCATGGAAAGCCGCTGACGTTGGGAAAGGCCCAGGCGGCAGCGCCCCGGCCATTCTGCACCCGCGAAAGACCTCATCCTGCAGCGGTCCGTTGTCCACGCTCCCTGTAGCCAACGTCAGCATATCATGTCCCACATGCCAAAAAGAGCTGAAGTCAACTCCAACCAAAAAAGTACGTACCGACAAATCCAACATCACCGAACCTCAACCGCCTCCACGCCCGCGCCAACTCCCTGAGCTGCGTACACACCCCTTCCCTCTCAGCCTCACTCATCCACCCCCACCTCTCCTCCAACACCTCCCCCTCAGGCATATCCATATACACAAACCTCTCCCCGGTTCCCGCATCCCGCCGCCAGCCGAAGACCTGCGGCACCGGCACCGGCAACCCATTCCCACTCCCCGCACATGATAACAGCGACGGCAGCGCCCGACCCAACAGCATCATCGCCTTCCCCTCGGCAGCCGACACGCCGCCCCCGACCGCACTCGCCCCATCATTTCCCCTCAGTGCCCGCTCCTCCGGACCGAACTTGACGAGCAGCCCCAGCGCAGGGAACGGGACAAGCCTTGCGTCGTCATCGCTGCCTTCAGCGGTAATGGTGAGGCCCAACCGCGCTGCCTCGTCGCGGACTTGTGCCGGCGTGGGGAGCTCCGGGGTCCCAGTTGGTGGGTTGTAGAGGCGGCGGAAGAAGGATGAGTGCGCGAAGATAACGTTGTCGCCTGGCGGGAAGAGCGGAGTGACGGTCACGAGATCGGAACGGGGGTTGGCGTTGGTGGGTAGTGCGTGTGAATCTGGTGGTGGTTTGGAAGGTTTGTTTTGACTTTGCGTCTGACTCGTGGGTAGTCCGGGGAGGGAGGTGGTGATGGTGGTGAGGGTCAGGTTTGCGAGGGAGTCGGAGAGGGCGTGGAATGGGTCGTTGATGGTAACGAGGACATCGCGGTTGCGGTGGTGATGACTCGGGTTGGCAAGCATTGTTGGGTGTCAAAGGTAGGGTATCGCGTATCTTACTCCAATAGACACTAATGCATATCTCGTCTTCCGGAACCGCTCATTAACGGTCTCAATGGAAGATGCAAAATAATGATGGCATTGAAGTTTCAATGTCAAGACGAGTTTTGGAATGGATGGTGTGTGGTGGATATGACGTTGGGCACTTTGGAGGCGCTAAGAATGGTGCCCAACCTGGCCCTTCTTCACCAGGTGGGCAAGGTATTCCTCACCTGGACAACGCAACAAACCCATGAGACGCTTGTAATCCGTCCACATGTCTAGCAGTACCCCGTTGAGCTTGAAAAGCCCATCGAGGCCAAACTTGAATCCTCAGAGAAACCCAATGAGTACTGCGGACTACGAGAATCCCCGCTATCAGGATGTATGTGTCATTTACCCAAGCTTAGTAGGATGCTGTCATCGGCCAAGCTTCAGAGCAGCAATCAGAGCTGACATTTTCCTGCGGCGCCTCATCAGTCATCCCGCTCGATCCAAGCGGTTAAGAATCCATCCGGTATATTACAGCCACCCCCCCCCCCAACCCAAGCCTACCAAACATGCTCAGCCCTTCAACGTCTAGACCAGTTTCCGGTCCCACAGGCAGAACCCTGCGTGCCTCCAGAGGTGCAAGGCATTACACTGATCCGATGACTGGCTAGGCAACCAGGGAATGGAGTGCAACCCTTCTCCGAACCATTTGACGTAGCACCCCCGCAGCTCGTCCAGCCAGCCGTATGGGGCGAGGTCGAGCCCGTCCCCGACGTAGGGCACAACCAACCCGTCCCGGTCCAACTGGTCTGTGGTCGGGACCGGGAAGGAGGCGGTGCAGGTGCGTAAACAGCTCGTCGAACTGGCGGGGTGGAATCCCCGGGGCTCCGTCGGCCGTCCGCGGAGAGTGGTGCATAAGCGCGAGACACAGGCGCATGATGAAGACGTTGGCGTGGTCAATCTGCTATATCTCCTAGGGCTCAAGGGCGCTGAGCAGGCCCAACTCCTCGCCTTGATGTGTGCTGGACTTGCTGATAGCCGCCGTGTCTTCGTGGGTCCAGTGATTGGGGCGCCCGGTCGCGGCCCAGGCCTTGCTCAGGATCTGGCGGTGGTAGAACTGCGTGCTAGCCGTCGCCGCTCCACGGACGAGAGCGGTGCTGTGGCGGGCGTCCCGCCTCTGCCGCCGAGGTCGAACGAAGTGAGCCGTGCTGTGACGTACATGTCGGCGATGAAGTTGATCTGGTGGAGAGTGCGGCAAAGCGCCTTTAGCTCCTCGAGGTGGGGCAGGGCATCCTCAGTGTTGCCGCCTCGCAGCATACCGTGGTATACGCCGGCCATGAGGTGCAGCCATTCGATATACTGGACCTGATTTTTGGGGTCCGAATAAGGGAATATAAAGAGAAACCTGGCGTCAGCTAGGATTGGGCTCAGCTCGTTTTGCAGGACCCGGAAAAGGACGGTCCGCCTTTGAACCCTGAAGCGTTGGTATAGGAAGCGAGCTGTGGCGATGGAGTGGGCGAGATTGCGGATGGCGTTAATCTCGAATAAGACCTTGTCGGATGGCGGACCACCAATACGATGGTCCGAGAAGCCATGGGGGTCCGAGTTATCCTTTGTCTGCGTTTCGGGAGCCTCTTGGGCTATTTTGCTAGAGAAATGTGTTTGGGGTTGATGAAGGCGAGGTGAATAGATTATAGCTATTCTTCTGACAAGCCGTTGCTGGATGAAGTAGGGAAAGCGTAGTATGGTCCCTGCAACCGCAGCGGTTCGCATCTCCAGCCACTCAGGCCCGAGGACAGACCACCCTCCCTTCCACATTAGACCTCTGTTGCACCCATCACTTCTTCTTCTTCGCCTCATCCTCCCTCTCGCTAAACCGGTCCCCAAACAGATGGAAGTGCGGCCGCATGACAATCGTATACTTGACAAACACTTCCATACAGTCCACCAGCCGATCTCGATTCGAACTCAGCTTGAGCCGGCTGCCGCCCTCGGCCGGATCGTCGGCGTCGGTGACGTGCGTCCAGGCCTGTGGAATGGAGCTTTGGTTCGGGATGGTAAGCATGCGCATCCAGCGGCCGAGGATGCGCAGCGAGTTGACGGCCTTGAACGACTGCGACCCCCCATTGACCTGTGTGATGGCCAGGGAGCGACCGTGTGTCGGCCGCACGCTGCCCGTGGAGAGAGGAATCCAGTCGATTTGGTTGTTGAAGACGGCTGTCTGCGAGGCGAGGGTAAACAGGGGTTTTGGTCAGGTCACATCTACTCAAGAGAGTCTTGGGGGATGCTGAACTTACCAAGCTGCCGTGTTGTTCAGGAGAAACCCCAGACGTGGCCGTCGCGCCATTTGCTCAGCTCGCGGGGCTCTTGCACCCTTTGGTGGTCGTGCTGCTGGTCATCCTTGACCGGAAGGCCGGACGGGTGGTGCACATGCACGTCGCAGCCGAGGCGGAAGAGAATGCGAAATGCTTAGTAGGCAAGGAGTTTGGAGTATGACTTGAAGGAATTGTAAGCATTTTGCACGGTAACAATGGTAGTTGGGGTGTCTCTTACCGCGCCCTGAGACTCCCTTGAGGGACGAGGTCCCTCAACCGGTCCTTACCCGGCGAGAGGATCTCGGCCTCCATCATCTTGGCCGCCGTAGCCAGTTCGAGCCTCGCAATCCAGTCGGAGGAAGAATTTCATCATCCAGGAGGAATGGGCGATAGCGCTACAGGGTCGTCATCGTGAGCTGGGATGGAAGACGGGCGAAACCGCTAAGTCGATGACGGGACGAAGATGTTCCCTCACTACTGCTGTGTTCTTGAGGTCGCCCATGCTTGACCGGGCAAGAATGGATGCTGTAGTCTGGAGAGAGAATGGTCGTCGGCCAGAAGAAACGAATGAGCCCCCGAGAATCCGGGAACGGAGCATGGACGGCAGTCAACTAGAAAGCCCAGTGATAGCGAGTCGTGGAGAAGCCTGAGTAGTATGAACTATGAAGAAGGTGAGGTTATCGGGAATGAGGGAGAAACTAGAAATACTAGGTTCTTGTAGTCCGAAGGCCCGATGCGTTTGACAGTATCCATTTTCAAATATCCGGACTTTATACCGAAGGAGACATAGAAAGAGCCCCCATAGTGATTCATGACCTAGTTGGGTCAGTCAACTTGTGCATGTCACTCACTGCGTGAAGTTGATTGGGTAGGTCTGGTTCAGCTGGAGAGAAACTAAGGTAACATGGGTCCAGCCTCTACAGAGGCTATAAGCCACATGGCACCCGAGCGTCTTCACTATTCTCTCCTTCCAGCTAAACCACCAAAAGAAAACATCTTTCACAACGCGACGCATGATTCGACGAAACAAGCAGTCGACTACCACTTTGCCTCTAGACTCTAAGGAACCCCAAGACTGAAGACGGACAAGGAATTGTGGCGCGACGACGTTTGACTCATGATTAGTCACTACAACAGAAATACGCCTCCTGAACTACGGTAAGGTACCTGAGGTACCTTGTTTCTAGGACCGAGACACCAGCAAGGTGCTTAGTAGGGCGGCGCTGCTTCAAAAAGAAGCCGCAGAAGGTGGGTAAAGATATCCAAACTCGATTTGAATCTGCCTTTCTAAATGCTGCCAACGCCCTCACACAGTTGTTAAGCTCTGCCCTGATGCATTTGTCAAATCCCTCACAGGGCCCCCAAACTGTCGAGAAGCTGGAATAGAACCGTGTTCTTGACAAGGCACTCCTCAGATCCCGAGCATCCCATCGCCTCTCGGGCCTTCTCCTCGCTTCCGTCCCGGGAAATGCTGGCCATGATGTGCGCGGCGGCCGTACACGACATCTCGAAATGAGAACCCCTCGTCGTCGTCGTCGGGTGAGAGTTTATGGAGCCTGGAGTTGGAAGCTGTAACGGTGAGGCTGAGTCGCAGCCGTCACCGCCGTTGCTGCTGCATGGGGCTGGCTCTGCTCTTATGGGTGCATATTTCCGGACGTCTCGGTCGTCGGCTGGGGTGTACTGAGTGGTTGGTCCGCAGCACGTCTGCCGTATGCTCGCGTCGGCCACAACTGCCAGCGTGTCCAGAGCGGAGATTGGGGCTTTGTTGGGCGAGTAATAGTCGCTCGCGGGAATTTCGACAACCGTGTTGTCGTCAGCCGGTGATGCTTGGCTCATACTGCTTGCATTTGGGCTTCTTTGGGAGGTGGCGGTCACCGGTTCCGCGCCGTATGGACTGCTTGCTGACTCATCTCCGTATGATGCCCGGCCATTCGCATGGATTCCGTCTAGTCGTGGGAGTGGTGCGTGCAGCGCGCCCGTCTCCTGTGGTCGCGGCGCCAATGCTACTGTTGGCTCAGCTTCCGACGACGGCTGGTCATTAAATGATGCCAGGTAGTGGTCGACTTGCTCGCCGGTCACACCATGGGAGGAGAGAAGGGCGCGCAGCCGCGAGTTCTCGATGGCCACTCTGCGAGCTGCCTGGCGCATCTCCACGGTTGCCTGCACACCTTGGCGTTCATACTCACGAACCCGGGCCTTCAACTCTTCGACAAGTTCGCGCCGACGAGCTCGGCTGCGTCGTTGGTTATCGCGGATTCTGGCTGCCGAAGAGGCATCTTGCTTCTAAATGCGGCTGTTAGTTTACGATTAGCGGTGTGGGTGCGCTAACTTATCAAACCTCCGATCAACCCGAGTTGGAAGTTCCTCCAGTCAGGAGGAGGCACGGCAAGGATAGGTACTATGTGCATACCTTCTCACCTACTGACCCCATTTCCGGCACTTAGACTGGCTATTCGACTGGTCATTCAGGCTTTCGATGTCGTTTGCGGCATGGCATGTGAGTTAAGAGCTGAAGTGCTTTGAATCTCTCTGTGGCAAAATTGAAGTCGTCCGACAGCCGATCAAAATTGTTTCTCTTGTGTGTTGCTCGAAAAATACCATTATGCGATTACAAAAGTCGGTATGTAAAATGAAATACCACATCAGGTGCTCGCATATATTGAAACCAAGTGAGAAGTGAGATACGGGAGAATCCGGAGGTACCTTACGTGCCAAGCAAATTTTAGTTACTCGGAAATTATCATGGAGCAATCAACCATCATCATTGACTTGCGCGTCGCGACTCGGAGACAAGAAGCAGGAGATTGAAGAATGGAAACTTAGTTTCCCACCGCGCGCCGACTCCTTACAGACGGTGACTAAATGAAAAGCTGGAACTGGCTGAGACCCTAGAGCTCGGAATGGTATCGTAGGTGAGGCGTTGCGTCGAGCTGGGCTTGTTGGAAGATCCGGGAAGAGCCTTCCCGGTATAACGTTAGTGGACAACATTTACTGGAAACCAGGATGAGTGACAAAATGGACAACGGCGCTTCATCAACTTCACGGGACTCTGGCGTCCTTGGACGGCTCGCTGCACAAAACTTCCATTGATGTGTTTGAGTTGCATATATATTATACACGCTTGGGCGCATGGTCTAGTGGTATGATCTCTGTTTTGCAATGAAATATCTGCACCTACAGATGGTCCCGCGTTCGATCCGCGGTGCGTCCATTTATTTTTCAGCGAGAATTTGTTTTGTCTTGCCGTTGTCATTCCTTGTTGTCCTTTCTACTACGGAGTACTAAGCTCATCGATCCTCCATGGCTTTTCTCTACAACTCAGGTTTCATATATCGGACTTTGTCAGCAAGACCATACTGAGGCAGCGGAGAGTTACAAGATTATTCAGATCATAGTGTACAGGACCAATGGGATACTGAATCAGTCGTCAGCTCTTAGCATAGCATGAGGAGAGCCTGTTGCAAGAGTTTTAAAAATTCATCAAACCAAGGTCAATTTGCATGACATCTAAGCACCATCCCGTTAAATACCGAGTCATTCGTCCGAAGCCCCTACGAAAACCCAATCCCTGATCTTGTAATCCGTACAGCCATTGCATCTGAACCTCCCTTCAGAAACCCGCTGCCGTTACCTCAGAATCTTATATCAGTTGAGTGTTTTGCACAGCAGTTCTGTCAAACCTCTCGCCCAAGCATGCAGTTAGCCAAAAACAGCTGCTGACGAAACCCCTAGTCATTTCCATAAAAGTCAAACCCATGCGCCTGGTATCATCCCAATCCACAAACCAAATCCCAAACGCCTCATCGGTGACTCAATCCCCTTCATGAGCAATCCATCGCATCGCCCAGGGCTCCATCCATCCTCTCATGCTCTTGCCCATTCTGAGCGCCCACTTGAACACCCCGCTCAACCTTCGCGCCCTTCCCTACCTCGCCATCGAGCTCAACAGACCTCCTGCACACAGGGCAAGTGCCATGCAACTTCAACCACGGCACCACGCACTCTCCATGGAAGAAGTGCTCGCATGGTAACACAGCCGCCTTGTCCCCTTTCACCATGTCATCCACGCAGATGACACACTTCGTCTTTCCGTCCTCATTGGCCCCCAGCATCTTCTCGTCGACCTCCTTGGTTCGCAGCCGGTCGAGCGCGGCCTGTGAGGCGGGCGGCGCCCCGCCGGGCTGCATTTGGTCACGCAACTGGGCCATGATGCGGTCGAAGGCTTCTTGCGTGTAGACGGCGTCGCCGTGGATGGCGGCGGCGGGGTTGAAGAGCGAGGTCAACACCGAGGTGATGAAGCTGAGGGGAATGCCTGCAGGCGGCGCGCCGGCGGGGAAGGGGCCAATTGGCGGCGGCTGCTGGTGTTGGTGGCCTTCGCTGGGTTGAGTCGGCTGAGTGATGCTGGCGTGGCGATTGTTGTTATTATTCGTGTTTGCTTCGCTCGATTGGGTCACGGGAGTGTTGTTGGCTGTCGGAGGAGGAGCCATCGGCATTGGGAAGAAGTGCATGGTGTAGGAGGTAGGTGGTGGCGGCGGGTTCGGCGCTGACGGCGCGGCAGAGCTGGTCGTGACATAGGTGACGAAGGTAATTTGTGGTGGCGGTAAGAACGGGTAGAAGTGGACAGTAAACCGAGGCGGATTGCCGCTCGCGCTGCCCGGAGCATCACCGTTGCCCGAGTTGGTGGTGCTCGTTGAGCTCTGCGTGTTGTTGTTTGAAGACGTGTTGTCGTTCGAAGGTTGAGAAGGCGTTGTGGAAGACGCGCTCACGTCGTGGGCACGTCGATCTGAAGTTGGCTCAGGAAGAACCATCGCGGCGGCGAGAATTTCAGAGCCGGTGGCAGCAGTGCTGGAAGCGTGCTGAGTGCTGGACGCAGTTTCTTGCGCAGGCTGCCGGTTGTGGAAGTGGCGTGGGTCGTTCTCGAGATCGATCTTCATGGTGGTGGTTAGCTCTTCCGTCGCGCTGTGCGAAGGCTCATGCAAGTGCTGTTCGTACAATCTCTGTAGATGCGCTCATGCATGCAGGGCATTCGATGCTCTCACCGTCCCTCCGCCACTGATGGTGGCAGGCATGGCAGTACATCGCCTCCTGGTCGCGTCTGGCGTGGTAGGCCATTGCGCTTTAGGTTGTCCGACGACTCAATGTAACGAGAGGACTCTCACTAATATCTGGCGATAATCGTTGGGTGTATGAAGAGGAGTTGCAGATGATGGCTGCTGCGAAGTGATCCTGCACCTGCAGCAGATAGAAGAGTTGCAACTGGTTGAAGATTGAGGATGGTGTTGCAAAAACCGCAGTCGGCGTACAGAGCGCCATGTTATTATAAATCATGGCGACGCCCCGCGTCGCCATGATGCTGTCACCAGCCTCAGCCGCTTGGTTCGCTGGTTTCTGGAAGATGCTATCCGCTGCAGACAGAAATCTGTGAGCTTCCAGTGCGTACTGTGGGGACATAAACGATCCAATCAGCGCTCAGCTTCTGCTTGAGTTGATTGGTTGGCTCTCCATCGTACGCTACGTCATGGCGGAAAGATATTCGACGTAAGGTATCAAGGTGGGGTACACATTGATGGCACGTGGGTACACTCCCCCTCCGAACTCCTCGCCTGAGGAGCTGCTTCTAAGAGCCAGTCCTTCAAAGAGATCGCGTTTTGCTGTGGTTTGTGGGGAGACATGACAACCAGCCCTGTCAATACCAGACCCACTGCTGTTATTTCAGCCCCCTACCTTCGTGAGGACAGAGTACCATTCTCGAGTCATCATAGACCAACGGCTTCTCTTCCAGGTGTTTGACTCTTGTAAACCCCTAATCACGTCGTACAATACCAATATATTGTCAGGCTGACAAAATGGATCAGAGTCCAGCTTTGATTAGCCTTTCGGCTTCTTGGCCATCATTTGCTCTATTAACCACAAAGGCGAGGTATGAGGCGATGACTTGAGTTACGAAAACACGGCTCAGTTTGTTATGGGCGGTATTGACTCCCCGCGCGGTCAGAGGCAGCGTGGGGCCGTCATAGTTTGCCTTTTTTTTTCTCTCGTCTCGACTCCGTCTCAACCACCCGATCCAGATTTGCATAGCTCAATGCATTTGCCAAACCGAACGACAGCTCTTCAGGAATCAAAACCAGCATACTGTGACTCGGCGAGAGAAGCAGGCAATATCGTATCCACGCACCATGCTGACTTCTGGAATCGGGGGCGTTTGGGGTATCAGTAAAAATCCCGGGCTCTTCAGCAATGGAAAGATTTGGAGGAGACCCAACCTGGAACATTGGCTTTCTGTGTCACGGAGACAGGGCATGCACAACGATACTGCAGCTACAGAAGACATTCCTTAGCGAAACAGGTGAGGACTCTGTCCCTCTGCAGGTTATTGGCGTGGGAACGACAGGGCAGTTTGGGAACTCCCTCGAAACCAAATGATCAAAGGTGGGTAACCTATCAACAATCCAGCAACACTAGCACGACGAACTCGCAGCCACAATGCGCTTCTCCGCTCCATGAGTCAATAATCGTGTATGCGAGTCAATGGTGGATCACGTTAACTATATGATATTAAATTAGATAAGGTTTAAATAACGTTAATACTTATTGACCTATACTAGCAATATATTTAAACTACATCTACTGTCCAGTTTTACCTATTTTTGAGTAACGTTAGGTTACCTATGAGGACCTATAGGTGAGTAGTTCCCGGGCGTAGTCACGTTCCTTCCATATTACATAGTCATTAGTTACCCACGGTTCAATAGATGTCTCTATTATTTGCCCAATTGATAGTGTTAGCAAAAGCGATTACGGCCAAAAACAAAGAACAAAAAAAAGATAAGAAAAGGGAAAACAGGGACAGCAAGGTCCTCTGACATGGACGCTAAACCGAAGGGGGATAATTGCATCGAGGGTAGCGTGGAGGCTGTGACACATCTGGTCAAGGCCTGGGATTGCTTCGGTCTTCCACATGCTTTCTGTTCGACCGTAACCCATGCAAAATGCCAGTTTAGTCGATAGGAGGGCTTGGTTCAGCCGCTGTTCCGAGACCGGGTTTTGGTGACGCGTCCCGCCATCTGCTAGTCAGCCGGCGTATCTGACGCCAGCTGAGCAACGCCAAGTTCACAGCAGCCGAACCGCAACGTTTCGATGACCTGTCGAGGCCATCCATCCATCTATGGGCTTTGGGCAGCCGCCATAATAAGGGTGCCACTTCTTGCTGTGCCCGGCAACTTCATCCAATCTTCAGAATTTTGCTTCAACCTTGCACTGAATTGGCAAACGTCAGCGTTCAAAAGCCATTCCCAAATCGAGTCTGAACCTGGAAAAGGCCGGTAAAAGTCAAATCACCCGTTACCACACTGCCAGAATGCACCCCCAAAAGCGGGATCTGTCAGAAACGCCCGATATCCCCGACCAGCCGCCTCCGCCATACGAAGTCTCCGTCCCCTCCCCCAACATCAACTCAGCTTCCTCCACCGCAACCACCGTCATCACCAGACCTCCAGCACCCCGTACCGCCATGGAGACCACTCCGCGCAGCAGCACCTCCTCGACCCGCTCGACCTCGCCGCTTCATCAGCAAACCTGGCAGCAGGCTGAGCCAAATCAATACTATTCCCCGCCACCGATGCACCCAAACAACAGCGCCGACAGCAGAGTGCCCTGGGAAATGGACTCCTCCTGGGTGGAGGGCGAGCCCGGCTGCTGCTGCAGTGACCGTGGGGGTTGCTGTTTCAGTGACAGGGGCGGGTGCTGCTTCAGTGACCGGAGCGGGTGCTGCTTTAGTGACAGGGGCGGGTGTTGCTTTTCGGATCGGGGTGGGTGTTGTTTCTCGGACAAAGAGGCTTGTTGTTGTAGTTGATTTTTTGAAGAGTGGAAGTTGGGATTTGCGTTTCGGTCAAGTGACTGCGGAGCAAGGTGGGTTGCTGGATGAGGTTTGCTCAGGAATGCTGATCAATTGGTGAGAGTTTGCTCGGGAGCCACGAGCACTGGGGTAATCTCTGTTTTGATCATGTAATACTGCTTGTGGTGTGCCTGGAGCACCGACGCGCTCTGCTTCTTGCATGGTTGGAACAGCAAGGTATTTCTTTGGTATATAAACGACTCGCGGTATTTGGAGGTGTATGAGAGTGATGTCTCATACTTTGACTCATGGGATGCCCCGAACTGGCACTTGTACTTTAAATACACGACTGGATACCATGGATTCTGACGAATCAAGGGACTGAATGAATGACTGCGTTTTTAGGCCTCAATGGCAGAAGATTCAACACAACCCAATGACTTTGAAGCTAAAACAAAGCAGACCGACCCCGCTGAGTTTGCCTAGAATTATAAACCCTATGGACTTCCATCGTCTTCAACCGGGTATTCGGCCCTAACCTCAGCGCCATTCTTCAAGCACACGATGGGGCATATCCGCCGGCCCAAAAATAACAATAAGTTACACAATTGACGTGGGATACAATCAAATGAACGGCTAGGATGGGCTTTGCTATCTAGTTCACTAGTGCTACCTCAAGGACTGCGTCCAAGTCTATTACTCAACAGTCCTCTACTGAACTCTTACACCATTCGAGAATACCTCCTCTCGATCCGCGTCTTTTCGTCAATGGGGTAGCCGTTTCCTCCGACAGGCGGCAAATCGCTGAACACGGGCCGCGAGAAGCGGTTATAGGCGATAAAGGTCTGGCTATCACCCACGGTGGCATTCACCGGGGTCGGCACGCGCATCGACATGCGGCGGAGCTCCGTGGCGTCCTCAGTGATGGGCTTAACCCCATAGAACCTGTAGACAGCGTTGAGCGCCGGGATGGAAAGGCCATGCACGACAATCGAGAACAGAACGAGCCAGTAGACGACGGGGATCATGGCGCGCACGAGGGCCGTCTCTTCCGCGTCGCCCTGGCCGAGCTCGGGAAAGAGATGGCGCGAGTGCTCGACGTAGAACACGGCGCCGATGCCAATGGGGCCGAAGTATCCCATGAACAGGGCCTCCTTCCAGTCCTTGCACACCTTGGGCATGAGCTTGTACGTCATGAAGATGGCAGGGATACGGCGGAAGATGAGGACCAGGACGCCGAGTCCGATGAGGCGGCCGTAGGTGATGCCTGTGATGTCTGGCTGGTGGAACTCGCTCCAGGGGATGATGCTGCCGATGTACATGAAGCCACCAAAGTTCAGGAGCACGTCCATGCACGAGTTGACCTCGTCATGGCGATCCTCAGTCTCGCGGAGGTACTCGCCGTCCCAGTTCATGGCATTGCCGGCTACGAAGCAGGCGAGGAGGTCGTCGGTGCCGAGCATGCCGCAAATGCCCACAAGCCAGAGCTGTGATGGTCAGCAGAGGCCAATGTCGAACTTCTTGGATATCTGGCTTACACCGATGGCGGTAGGATACAGCAAGTAGCTCTCTGAGTCCACCCACTTCCTACCAAGCGTCAACAACGTGCTAGCCAAGATTTGATGTGAATGGGTCAACCCACTTGCGAAGGGCAAACTTCAGCGCCCATCCGGACGCGAAGCCAACAAGCGCGCCAATGGCAACAGACATGAGGACGATGTACAACCACGTCTCGACAAACCACTCCCTCATGGCGACACCGACACCGCCTCCAAGCCGACCAACGCCCTCGCTGGCGCGGGCCAGCAGTCCCACAGCCCTATCGGCATGGGCCTCCTTCCCGGCGCCAGGTATGTCGGCATGGCGGATCAGATATGTGGCGAGCATAAGGAACGGGAAGCCGAAGCCATCGTTGGCGCCGGCCTCGGACGAGATGATCTCACGCAGGTCTCGGGCCACAAACTTGTCGGCAAACGGCCCCTTGGCGATGGCCTGCGAGAGGATCGGGTCTGTGCAGGTGACGCAGGAGCCGATGACCAGGGCGGCGAGCAGCGAGATGTTGGGGATGGTGGCCATGAGGCAGAGCGTCGTGCATAGCCACATGATGGTCATGATGGGCAGCAGGCAGATGGCCATCTCCTTCCAGCGCAGCTGCTGGTACTTCTTGGGCAACTGGAAGCCGGCAATGACCAGCTGGACGCCGATGACGACGCGGGCCATGCCGAGCGTGATGGCGCTCGTTTGGCCGTCAGCCGCGGAGCCCCATCTCGCGCTGTCGATGAAGTTGGCGGCGATGGGGCCGAGGAGAACTCCGATGGCGACGGCGGGAACTGTGGGTTGAAAGAACGGTGAGATGGGTCATGCAAACATGGCGAATGGTGCTGCTCACGCGCTTCGCCCAAGAACCAGTGGGCCTTGATCTTGACCGAGATGATGCCGTATAGGAGGATGAAGGCGCCTAGCACACGTCAGCGTCTCGTAACCCTTAGCGATTGGCCTAAATGCGTACCGAACACTCCTAAGACCGTGTTGAGCTCGCTGACGTCGAGTTTCGGCATTGTGGTTGGTGGGTTAAGGCCCCTAGGTACCCCCCGAAGAACAGCGCACGCTCGTCTTGTCCAGCAAGGAGGGAAGTCGGCGAGAGAGAGAACCTGATGCACAAAATACAAACGGACAAACAAAAAAAGAAGAGTAAGAACGGAACAGAAAAAGAAGCAATCCTGAATCGGCTACCGGAGCCCCAAGAAAGCCTAACAACAAGCGAATAGAACAGGAATCAACAGGAACGAAATCAAGCCAAGCGAGATCGCCGGCTGGAATGCGGCTGATATGACTGCCTCTTAATCCCGCGGAATCCAAGCCTCTGGTGAACATGAAAGCGATCGGCGGCCGAGCCCGCGCCCTGGCCGCTTTTCAGGGGCGCCTCAGGGGCACCAAAACAACGAGTCAACAAAGACTCTGCCACAAGTTAAAAAGAGTGACAAACTGCGACGTCTCTCGAAACGCACCATGCTGCAAGCCTGCAACACTTCTCGTGTTAAAAAACGGCTCTGTCCCAGCGAATTGCTCCAAGAAAGCTTATCTCGCGTCGACATTCCTCGATTCTTCCGGGATGCTGCGAGGGCGATCCGCTCCGTGCCCCCAGCGAGATCGCCCCCGGGCGCTCGGCCAAGACCTGGGCGTCAAGGTCTGAACGGCTTGGCCGCGCCCGCCGAGCATTGGCGTGGCCGAATAACCACTACCGACTGGCTGACTCCGGCGCTCGGCGGTCTCGGCGCTTGGCTTGCGCTTGCGGGTGAAACAACGTTGTGAAACTTGAGCTGTGCTTCACAGTTCGCCCTCTCTTGTGTCGGACTGAGAGATGTGGCTATCCATTCTTTTATCGTCATTGAAAGTGCCAATCTGTTGCGATCCTAAAACGGGAATCGGCACCCGTTAGGGATGGCAGGGCTAGTAGCGGTATATATTCCTCCAATACGATCCGATTCGATTAGGGAGCTGAAAAGCCGATAAGTTGATAACAACCAAGTTTGGGGGGCTGTGTCGCAAGCTCGAGGATCTCCAGTGGCTTAGGAGGTCATGCATATACATGAATATTGCGGAGGCCGTCATCTTTTGCCACAGCGAATACTGACCTCAGAATCGACCTCAAGCCTGTCAGGTACAATATCAATCAAGTGGAAAACAGCTCCGGAGGACTGGGCAGTAACCTCCAGTCCCGGGCATTGAAAATGACTGTTCAAGTTCCCCGATTCCAGGTGATGTCGCATCTCGATTGAAATTGCCAAAACCGTCTCAGAAACTAACGCTTCGTGTTGCACGTTCCATTTCTGGACCCAAAACCTCGGAGCATGTTCAGCCACCCCAGCCTAGCTGAACCTAATGCCCTGGGCACCAAACCTCGTCCTTCTCTCGGTAGACACCTAATTCAGGAACCGCGCCTCAAGAAGTCACTGCATAGCTACCCGTGAATCCATCCGCCGACGAATTGAGTGAGAGAATGGCCACGCCCCGTCAACCCTACCGTGAGGTTTCAAACCCTGCACGCAACAGCAACGACCCTGTGCACAACAGCGTCGACTCTGCGCGCAATGGCATCTGAGGCGCTCACAGGAATAGCTGACTGTTAGGGGCACCGGCAGTTCAAGAGCCCACTTGGAACAGGCACCGTCTGCTAACTTGCCAGGACATTTTCGGATTAGAATTGGGGGGTCCTCGGTTATGCACCCGCAGGCGTGGAACGCGGCCCAACGAGAAGCACTTGGTAGGCGGCCCGTATCCGTCTTGGTAATGGAGAGGGTTGTCAGCCTTCGTGCGTGCGAGGGGGGCAAACATAAGAGAGAGTGGAGTGAACCGACCTTGTTGTATTGGTTGGTACCGTGTTGATGCAAAATCTCTGGCGTTGCACGATTGCGGTTGCTGACTCAGCTACCCCGGCCCAACGCTTGCCCGATGTTTTGCCGGACGAGATCCCGGTCGCGTTGCCGGACCGGGACCGCCTCCGTAACGACTCCAAACGGCGCAGGCGACGGAGGCCGGAATGCGTCGCCCATTCTACTTCGTTCACACCCATCGAGTCCTCTAGAACACGTTCCGAGCATTCGCGATGGAGATGCATTTTCAGCGCTAGGATCCTGTCCCTTGTTCGTGGGGCTATAGCCGAGGATACGAACCAACTACGTCCGACCCTCGAGGCTCGGTGCTAGGCTGGCTTGCTCATGCCGTCGTGGCCTCCCTCCTGCCCTCACTCACTACTCTATGATACTCACCCGGATCCCGACGCGTTCCCCGTTTTCCCGCAATCTCATTCGTCACAACCCCTAGCCCTTGCTCCACTTGGGATCCACCGTTCTCCACCCAGCCTCGACGCGCTACCGTCCCGATCCGGTAATCCTAGACGCATTCCTATCGGACCTTATCGCGACCCTGCCCACCTCGACGCACTCCGACCGCTTTGCTTGCTGATTCGCTGAATGGCCTTGGCCATGCCCAAGAGGGAAAGCACATAGCTATTATCATACACGCCCTCCACGTCGAGTAGATCTCGTATTATGCAAGACCTCTTTGTCACTGCTGCTCTGCACGAGTTCCCAGTGAGATCTCCGTCTCCGTACGCTGGGTTGGACCTTCGGACCACTGGCGCGTACGCCTGCTGCCTTTCCTGGCCCAAGTGCTGTATTTTGGCCGCCGCCGGACCCGGTGCATCGGTCTCGCGGGGGTCGGGAAATCGAGGGAGAGAAATATCTCAGAGTCGTTGCAGTTCCCACCAGGGCTCGTCCAACCCTTGGGATCCATGGGGTTGTGATATTGTTGTAAAATGTGCCGGAGGATTGGTCGCGAAGAGATTGTACAAAGCATTTTCGTCGCCATAGCCGTACCATTCCTCAGGGTCAGGCCCTAAGCTACTGCTTGAAGAAAGGGGCCTGGTCCGCTCGCGCGCATCGGAGGTATCGCGTCGGAGTCGCTTCTTGGTTTGGGATTGCGCTTCATCTAGGTCGGCGATATCGTGTTCAGATCGGGATCGCTTTCGGGAGCTGTTGGAGAAGCGAGCCATTATGCGATTGATACGCAGGCGAAGACAAAAGGGGATGCTTTGACGTCAGTTGGGGTTGGGCAGACCATTGCCAGCTGGCAACTCTGGAGAGGATGCGGCAGAATTTTGACAGTGAAAGACCCTGCTTAACAGGAAATTTTGAGCCAATAGGAGCTTCCGCATTGCCCTGCCCGGATAACGCCCTGCCCGTGTATCAATTGTGCCCTCTGCCCGTATATCAATTGCCTAAAAAATAACCACATTGCCAAGCTTGGCGGTTATGTGGATATTCGTCAATATCGCAGGCAGGAGCGGGGCAGGGTTGGGGTTGCAGTCAGTCAGCGGCTGACTGGGAGCCAGTCAGCGTTGCGATACCAAGCTATCTATGTAGGGCAAGGGAGTGACAAGTGAGACCGTGCCGCTACGCGGCCCGCCAAAGGCAGCCTGAAGGAACTTGGGCAACAGGCAAGTGCCTTGCCACCTGCACAAGACTCAGTTTCCTCTCCTTCCCATCCGTCCAGCCTGGCGTCGTGGAAGGTAAGTTTGTTCGGCAAGAGTCGGGCGACGATGCTGAACCATTAACCCTCCCAGTCCTCCTCTAAAGTTCCTCTTCTTGCTTTCGGCGTTGAACATGGAGAGTATATGGGAATGCCGGAACTTTCCTCGTCCCTGGTGCTGAGTAGACGCGGATAGATGTCGTGGATGAATGCGGGTTGGATGAATGGCAGGAAAGTCCCGGCCTTGAAGCTACCGGAAGTAGTGTATCGCGAGCCAGTTGGGAGGATCTCACACTGAGCCAGGTCGGAGTAGTAGGTGACAATGAGGTCTGCACCTATTGCGCCCTGGTCTCGCTTGTTTGACGCTGGAGGCATGGGGTAAGTGACGGAGGCAGATGACGAAGCCATGTCAGTCGTTGTCGGCGTTGTCACGGTGTGGCACTGAAAAAGGCGGCAGAGCGGCAAGCGGATATGTCGATTTAACGGAAAACACAGCGTGAGTGAGGAGAGAGGGAGAAAGTACAAAAAGTCGGCGCCTGTGTCGGGTCTTCAACTCCTTCCCCTGCTCTCCGCTTTGTCTCCAACAGCTCCGATCAAATTCCGGATGCGAGCCTGAAAGCCTGCGCTGAGGCAAAGGTCCTTCGTGATCTTCCTACTCTTGCCGCCGCTATGCACGTTGCTGAACCGCGATTGGAGTATGATGTTTAACCCCCGCGACTACCAGCGCGCGAGTGAGACATCTTCCGTGGGATGAGCTCCAGCGCGTCCGATGGACGCCGGTTGGCTCCATCAGGCTCGCCGCCTTCTGCCGAGATTCCGTACGATGCAGGATGGCAGTAACCATTCCCGCCGCCCGTGGTAGCAAGAGCCAGCATCATCAAGAAGAATGGCACGGTGGGATTTGTAGGTTGGTCAACACAGAATTTTTCAACCAGCTCGTCCCTGTATGAGAATATAACGTGTTTTGTTGTACATCTGTTATTGCTTCAGCATGTCTGGATCGCATGTCGGCGATTTTCCACTCACTCCGCCACAGACACGACCCCAGCAAGACCGGACAAAGACAGCGAATGCGGGTGATGAAGGGGCCGTGCCTGCTTAGGAGATGACCATGGCGGGCGATCAGGTGCCTCGGGGTTCTGTTTCCAAATACTGCTCCGTGCCGTTCCAATCTCCAGCAGAGCGCCGGAGCCACGGCCCACGTAGGTTGAATGGACTGCAATATGACGAGAGCCGGCCTATACCGGAAGCCCCGCCGCTGCTTTTAGCAGAACTGACGCAAGGCGAGGAAGAAGCGCTGCAGCAGGTGTTTGAAATGTAGGAACGCAAGCGGGAGGCCAGGCACTTGCGGCGGACAGGTGATAAGACGCACGAAGGAAGTAGCGCGGCGTTGTGAACAGATAGAGGCAGCACGGCAACAGGAAGAAGACCGCCGCCAGCATGAGGAGAGGGACATGTGGCAGGGAGAAGAGGACCGCCGCCGCCAACACTAGGAGACCTGCATGCAATTGGAAGAAGGCCGACGTCGACGTGAAGAGCAGAGGAGGCGCTAGCTGGAAGAAGAACGAAAACGGGATCCGCACACCGAAGCAATACAACAGTGGCAGCTGAGCACTCGAATTCGTTCTCACGTTCGAAACCTTGCTCTGCTTCGTGTCTCGGCGGACGACGCCCGCGCTGACCGGAAGCTTCAAGGATTAGAAGAGGAACCCGATGGCATTGCGGAAGCGGGTGCCTTGGGCGGTCAGGCCAGGGACGAGGATGGTGCTGGGGCGGACGTTGAGAGCATTGATGTAGAAGACCATTACGCGGCCATCCTGGGCGTGCTCTCGGCAGTCCAAGGAAGCGAGATCAAGAATTTGGCAGCGGCTTCGGCCCTGAGGTGCTTGGACGAAGAAGCGAGGGCAGTTGATCCGAGACAGGCGACTTCTTCCAGTTCGACCCCGTCCTGCAGACCAGCCTCCTCTTGCCAATGCCGAGGCACCGCAGCGGACAGAGACCGGAAAGCTTGGAAAGGCATCTAGCGGCACACAAGGTCTTTCTCCAGTTTACAAGTGTGGTCATCCTCCGCGAACAAGTCCGCGCGGCCGGATGTCCGAAGCTGCGAGGCTTCCTTCGGCGCCTGCGCAATGGTGAGCAGACGGAACTGGACTTCCAGCGGCTTTGCGACCGCCTCTATGGCCCATCGTCTCGGGCTTCTTTCGTAGACGGCCTGAGAGCCATCACTCCATTGAACCAAGACCGGTGGGACCTGAACATGGCAGCCGTCGTCCAATGGGGCCGTGCGCACGGCAAGCACATCTCCATCTTCGTCGCCAAGCACGAGGCCGAGTCCGGGAGAAGGTTTAACGTCGAAGAGCTGCGCGACGTGCTCCGCCACGGAGACGACTCCCAGCTCCCCACACCCGGCCTGTTCTTCTATGCGCAAGGGATGCCGGTCGTAGTGACGCGGAACCAGTTTGTCGGGTTGAAGGTGGTCAACGGGGCGCCCTTCAGAGCCGTCGACATCTTCCCCGATCTCGCGTCAGCCACCATCGCCCTCGCCGGCGACGTGACTCTCCATCTCGGACCGCCCGTGGCCGTCCTTCTTCAGTCGGACGATAGCACTGACCTCGCAATCCCCGGGCTCCCCAACGGCACTATCCTGATCAAGAGTACAACGTTCGCCGTCCCGGGTCACATGCGGGGCAAGACGCCCAGGTCTCGAGGCAAGCCAGGGTTCAGGTGGGTCACCCACAGAACGGGACCGCTTTGCACGCCGGCATGCGCCATGACAGACCAGAAGAGTCAGGGCAAGCAGTTCTCGAGCGTCCTTGTCAACCTCAAAGGTGCCCACGCCGGTGACACGGCGACGCGGCCCCGCTTCATGAGCCTGTACGTGCAGCTGTCGAGGGCGGGGAGGTGGGAAGGGCTGCATCTGTTTCGAAAACCGGAGCGAGGCGACTTTATCGAGCCTAAGAATGTGCTGGACAAAGACATGAGGGACGCTATCCTCAAGCAATCCCCTGGACGCAGCCCTCCAAATGTGTTCTCTGTACTTTAGTTTCGCATCCATAACCACTCCTAGGATCTTGACATGGTCTTGGGGCTCGACAATCTGCCCCTTGATCATGAATGGTTGTGTGTCGGTCTTGTAGGTCTTACGAGTGAAGTGTATGATTCCCGTCTTCTGTATGTTGAATGTCGCACCGCTCCTTCTTTCCCAATCTAGGGCGTTCTTGATGATGGCTACAATGCTTTCCCGGTTGCTCTGCGCCGTGGTCCTGTGATCCACGCTGTGAAGTCGTCCACGAAGGCTATCGCTCCACCATGACTGTTGATTCGTCGTTGTACCAGGTCCGCATTGAAGAGGTACAAGATCGGTGATAAGGGAGAAGCTTGAGGTAGACCAGCCTGGGGTAGGCTTCGAACCTCAGAAGAATGTTCGTTGACTTGAATAGTTGCTGTACGCTCCGAGCAAAAAGCGTTGATCCATCGAAGCAGCTCCCATGGGATGCCCTGTGCTTTCATTCGCTGAAGAAGTCTTTCCTTGCAGACTCCGTTGTAGGTCCCTTTCACGTCGAAACTGATCAAGCTTGCTACCTTTCGACCTCGCCAGGCGGGGTAGATTTGTTCTTGGAGGAGTAGGATCGCTTGTTCAGCCGACCGTTGTTTACGCGCTCCGAAGTGGTTGGTCGGGAGGAGCCCATACGTCTCGACCGCATGTGAGATCCTTTCTGCCACGACCGACCCCAGCAGCTTGCCGAGCGTTGCTAAAAGTGAAATAGGTCTCCAGGCCTTCGTAACAGTGTAGTCGTCCTTGCCGGGCTTCTTGAGCGGTATAATCTTTTGAGTGGGCAGTGTACCTGTAACGGTCCCAGGAGTGCATTGCAACTAGCTGGTGACGACTCTACGAGTTTGCCTCGAATGGAGAGAGAAGAAGAAAAGAGAGAACTAGATGACAGGAAGAGAGGGCAGCTCTTATATGCTCCGGAACACACAGACACTGCCTGCCTCAGGATGACGTTATCATGATACCACGGCCGAGGGTTGCCGAGGCCATCATGGGCTCAGCCCATCACATACCGTCCTCCAGGGACGCTCGGAATAACGTGAGAACACGGTAGTTGACCACTGGCCAAGTCTCTTTCCAGACTATTGCTGGTAGGCCGTCCTCCCCGGGCGCATTCCAAGATTTGGCCGCGAATAGTTGTCGTTCAACTTCTTCCATGGTGATCGGCGGCATTACTAGCGGAGCCCTTTGCGGTCTGGGACCTCATCTTCAATGCTCTCCGGGAGGGGAGGAAAGAAGGTAGCCAGGAGTTCTTCTTCCTGTTCTCTGTAATTGGCTGTGACTGTTCCATCTGCTTTGACGAGCTGTGGAACCTTTCCGAACGCCGTGTCGTCGCCGGACTTTAGGTACTTAGCAGCCTTCCAGATATTACTATTGTCTGCGAGAAACTTGTCCCAGTGCTTTTCCTTCTGTTGCCGAATAGCGTCGTTGTACTGCTTTGCTGCCCCTTTTGCCGTTTCCTCCAAGTCCACCAAGGCTCGCCCCGCTCGTCGTTCGGTCCGGGCGCGGTTCCTCCAGTATGTGTAAATACGACGCAATTATGTGAGGTCGGTTGTCCACCACCTCTTAGCGTATGGCGATGGCTTGCTTTTGGTGTCAAGGTTTGGACCGCCGACAGGGTCCGGATCAATTACACTCCCATCAACGACACCCCTCCGTTGCAGTGTAATTGCACCTTAGGTAATCAAAACCCCGTTGAATTGATCTATCGAAGGCTCACATGGGAGTGGATGCAATATATTGCAGTTGCCGTCACGTGGGCGATAACACCCACATTTCTTGCTTTGCCCCACATATTTCTTCCGCATCCAGCCAATGACCATTTTTCTGCCCCGCTTGCTGCCCCTGCAACAAAAAGAAAACCGGCCACCCCATATCCATCCCTTACCCTGGCCGTCATCAGTCATCTTCTCTGGGTTCACGTGTCTTCCATGACAGTATTGGATCAAGATCACTGATCATGCCGGCGTCGTACCAGCTGCGAAGGATCTGACACAGAGCTATAGTGTTTGCCTGGAGCCGGTTGCGGAGAGGAGTAACCATGTCGCCGGTAACGCTGAACAAACGCTCAACCCCTGCGCTCATGGGAAGTACTGTGTGTAGATCCAACGCCATACGCGCAAGCCGTGGATAGGTGCTTCTTCTTTTATGCCAGTAGGCACGGGGATCCTCCTCGTACCGATCAGAGTCGCTCTCTTCCAGTTGCCAACGCTCAAACTCGTCAAGGTCGACTGGCGCTGGAGATGGGAAGGGTGAAGAAGAGACAGACGCTGAGCTTGCTCGACTTCGCTCCTGGCTTCTGAAGGCGGCGAACCTATTGCCGGAAAGGCGAGGGATTTTGGTAGGCGGTTCTGAAGCCTCTTTTTGCTCCACCAGTAAGTCTCGGTATTGTCGTCTCCAGAGTTCTTGGACTTGAAGCTTCGCTGGCGGGTAGGCCAGAACACCAACCTCACCAGCCAATAGGGCGGTGGGAGTTCTGCCGACCATCTCACCGCTTCGTTGTCAGGAGGATATTAGCATGTTAGTGTTTACCATACAAAATACTCTTAATCACTATCATCTGCTAAGAAGGGCCCACTATTGCAATAATGGATCCACGTAGCAGAGGTCATGTTGAAATTGCATGGATTTTCGGCGGTCGTCTGTGTAATTGAAATGTACGGAGATTTCACCTGCAATTCAACTTCAACGTGTATTTTCGTGTAATTGCTCCGGACCCTGACCGCCGACATCAGTCGGTCCGTCTGCTGCTGTACGGTGCCCCCAGACGGGGTGGCATCCAGTATCCCTGCAATCCTGGTGTTTATTTTCTTCCAAGGTGCATTTTTGAGGAGAAGTCGGTCCCGTTGATTCGGTACCGGGACCAAGGTGTAAAAGACCTTCTCAATCGCGCGGTAATCCGATCCGTGCTCTGTCCTGTGGATCGCACACTTGACTGTTGTGTCCGCTAGCTCGGTAGAAGCCAGGACCAGATCGATGGCCGTGTCGTGATCTCCGCCGTGCCATGTCTTCGTGCCTCGCCGAAGCAGACTGCGAAGGGCGAACTCGTTCATTAGGTCAATAATCCGATCCGCCTCCCCCTGCCGTTCCAAAGATACATCATCTCCTCCCCACAGCTGGTCGTGCCGGTTGAAATCTCCGGCAATCACCACGTCCACTGTCGTACCCGCGTGTTGTCTTGTATCCGTGATTATCTTGCGTAAATCGTTGCAAACCCTTCCTAGCGCCTGAGGATCCTGCTTTGGTACATAGACGGACACCACCAAGACTGTCACGAATTACAACAAGCCAACAGCACGTCGCATGGCGGAAGACCACATGCGGGGCGTGGGGGAGCGTACCGAGCCAATCATTCAGACAGCAGACAGCAAGGCAGACCAGTCAGGAGGAGGCTGAAGTGCTATGGTGCCAAGACTAGGGAGCACGTTGCAGCATGCAAGATGCTCAGGGTGCTCAGAAGGCATAGCACGATGAGCATGCAGAATGCTCAGTGTGCTCAGAGGACTGAGCACACTGAGCACATAAGGACAACAACTAGTATATAGTCACTCGCTCTGGAGGACTCTGGGAGTTCTCCAGTAAGCAATTCTCGTGCAAGATTGTCAGTACCTTCAAGACAGTACTTGTTGTGAACCCTTTGGCTTCACCGAACCTCACCCCGTCGTTAAGTTATACCTTCAGGAGTCCCTTTCAGAGATAGGGGCTACGAGATTCGTCACACCACACAACCCCCGAGAAGCCGAATCGCAGGCAACGCTCATCAAGACTCGCATTATAAACCATCAAAATATCTCCCCAACGTCAATGTTGGCTGCTGTGGACCAGCTTACTAAAGGTACAATGGCTGTGATGCACGAGGTGGCTCTCCTTAGGTCAGAGGTCTCTTCGCTCCGCAAGGCCAACGAGGCACTAAGGAAGCGCCGCAGAGCCAAAAAAACACGTGTGCAGTTCGGAAGATCAATCACTGTGCGAGATGCAAAGGATGTACTGGACCAGAAAGCCGTGGGTGGGGAGTGGAAGAAACGCAGCCGGATGGTGGTGGTGCAGGGGGGCCTCGTACGAGGGTTCGATGCTGTGGTGTGTGCGGCAAGCCTGGTCATAATGCCCGCACTTGCCAGGAGGCTGGAAAATCATCTGATTCAGCTGCTTCTGATGTTATTGTAGTTGGCTCTTAGTGTTGTGGTGGAATAATTGAGGATAGTTGTTGTAGGGTTATGTGGGGTGGGTCATTCACTGATATGGGTCACTCACTGATAATGTACGTTAAAAGAAACACATAACGTACATGATAAGCGAACGTCCCAGACAAGCGAACGTCCCACAAAACACATCTGCACAACATATTTCAAGATGATTCAACCAACACTGACAAAAATGATTGAAACTACTCGGAATCGTCTTCCTCGGGCACTTCTGCAACTCCTTAACAGGTGCGTGCATTATGGCCAGGCTCGCCGCATCTGCCACAACGCCGCGTGCGCGTCTCGATCCTCGGCTTCCGACCACTACTGTGAGAGACGAGCAATATATAGCGAGGCACAAAGGCGCTGCAAACACTACTCAATTCTGCTAATCGAAAGCTGAGGAAAGGAAAAAGAAGAAGA